ACATACCTCCGTCNCGCGGTCGGTCGGTCACTCAACAAGGGACGGTCGCGTTCTTCTTGTCTCGTCGTCGGTACGGTAGGTCGGCTGGGCGGCTATACTCAAACATTCCCGTGCAGGTTGTCAGTCACATCAGAACCATTGTAACTCTTCTGTTGCTACCTTCGCAAGGCGTCTTGTCTTCTCGGCCACATCATGAGCGTCATCTGATCCTTTTGAATGTACTTCCGTGCAGGTCGTCGGTCACATCAAGACCGTCGTGAGCTTTCCGTCCGCTCTCTGTGGAACGGCGTTTTGTTCTCAGTCTTCGAACTCATCCCCGTCTCAGGTTGCTGGTCACATCAAATTGCTGGTCACATCAAGACCGACCTGATTTTTCTAGCTGTCAATCTCTCCGCAATGGGGTTCTGTACCTCATCCTCGAACTCATGCCCGTGCAGGTCGTCGGTCACATCAAGACGGTCCTGATTCTCTTTCTCGGCTGGGCGGTGTTCCACCAGGCCATGAGCCTCAAGAACGTGGGCGGAATCGTGCTGGCGATCGCCGGAATGCTGGGGTACAGCTGGGCGCTAGAGTACGGGGGCAAAAGCAAGCTCCAACCGGAGAGCGTCATCCGGGCCGCTGCGACGAATGCGATCAAACGGGTTATAAACGCCGGGGATGCCAAGGAGGATGGCGAGACGAGCCCGATGCTTCTGCAACGGGTGAACAGCGGGGAGCTCCGCATGGTCGACGACAGCAAAGTGTAAAGTAGAATCAGAGCATTGTAAGATTATTAATACCGGGTTTCGGAAAATGGAAGGTGCAACCTGAGCCGCACATCTGCGGTTCTTGCATTATACTGGTATTCACAGTAGCGGAAGGACGATTATGTCGAGCAGTGTAGACACCCGCGGTAAAGGTAACACATTTGTACTGAATCTGACTGCCGAACTCAGTTCAACAGCGGCCCGCCATAGTTCATAATCTAGCCTTCCGGCATGAATCCGTGACATCAGACCCTACAAACATCTAGTCGCGGAAGCTCATTAATCGCAACGTAAGGTCCACTTTGAGGAGCCTACCTAATCAAGTCACATGCATTGTTGACTGAGCAATCTTGTATAAGCAGTCATTGAATGACGCTTTGTCGTGCCGTGAAAGAAGGTTCAACCAATGATCTCCTATGAACAGAACGGCGGAGTTTATGGCAAAGGGTCTTGTTGTTTGATTATCTGAATGTCGACGGCAAAAGCTGGCGCGAGCTATAACGTACGCACGTCCTCATAGTAGCCAGCTATGTATATACAGCCGATCATATATTGAACCCACGTACCGTAGTCGGAAATGATGCCAGGCCCTTGATATAGAGGAAACGCAGCAGATCGACGGTATGCAGCTAGTAGATATGGTCAGTGTAACCCAACCATAATTAACCCAACTGTTGAATGCGCAACAATGCCAGGGGGTGCAACGATCGAATCGCGAGCTTGCATGAGCATGATCGAGATTTGTCACCGTTGAAGTTCTAGCTCCATGATTCAATACTGAGGTTCTCTAGCCTCGCTAGAACAACGTTCAATTGTTGCACAACAATACCGTAACAATTCATAATTGATTGAACCGAGTCGATCGCCCTGCGTTAAGTCCGACATATATACTAGCAATGCATGCACCGGGATCACGCGTACAATATATATTCGCAATGAAGTTTGTCATTTATTGAAGGCGCCGGCACGACGCGAGTGCACGTATCTGCCCGGCAGCAGGCGTACGGTGTACATCAGGCTAGGATACATCCCGGCCAAGACCTGGCCGGCGCTGTAACGACGTCGTGCAAGCTGGCATGACACAGACTAGCTGGCAGAATGGAGCCGGAGAAGTCAAGCAAATCTTTAACAAACCACAATTTGGCGTCAAAGTTCTTACACACACGTCGATTGAATATCTGGCCGGGACTGTGACCTCGACAGTACATCTAGAATGAATGACCTCAAAGGTTAAGTTAGTCAGTAACAATAAGGAAATATGGTTCAATGTCAAGTGTTAGTCACAGGCTACCAGCGGTCGCACACTAGACAGCTTCAGCGATTATTTCACGGTCCAGTATTGGGCCGCCCACTTGCAGTGGACGATCTTATCCTTCTTCACTGCAGCCTCGCTAGGCTATTATCGATCGCCTCAAAGTTTGGCGTCAATATTCTGTCAACAGACTAAGTTCCACAAATAAAAAGGGGCGATAAATATTCCCGCTGAGTCAGATATATAGGTCTAACCAACGACTTGCCTTGAAGAACATCATGCTCATTTCGAGCTCCTCTCGTAGGACACAAGCTACGTTGGACCACTTTCTGATTTCTAAGCGGGAATCCCAGCATCCTGTAAGCCTTACAAGGTCAAATTGCAGCGTCGCACCTGTTTTGGTCACTTTATTCATAGCACTCTCCAAGTAGCAGTCGTACCCAAGGTCATCCAACCAGGCAGTCACCTCCTCCAAGGAAGAAGAACCCCGTCTCCATGCCCCCCACTGCTCGATCTCATGATACTCAAATTCAAGAACCCGTATCTTATGCAGCGCCAGTGCCGATTGGGCGCCTTGCAAGACCAATGGATCATAGCTACAGGAAACACAGAGACCTTGTTTACATTGAACAAAGAAGAAAACCAGGGACTCATTTTGTTTGTGACAGTCTGGCCACACATCTTGTCTGCTTTGTATCTACAGATGCATTTGCGGAGGGGAAATGAGACTTTTTGAGAGTTTTGGTATGAAAGTGATATGAAGACGGAAACACCTTCAGAATCGCTCTGCTGTCTCACAGCCCCTGGTCAACCGACTTCGTTTGCATAAGTCCACCAAGAGCAATGCCGGGACAATCCTGAACAGACACTACAATCAACTGACAAAAAGGGCCTTGAATGATTGAGCAGGATCTCACCCTTCTGCATCGATCTTCAATATGTCCACCTTCTGGATATTTCGCGTCTGCAAGAACCTGTCGATGGTTGTCGCATCAATCACTGTGGTACCCTTGCCAGCACCCGCAACGAGCCGGCATGTTTCCTGGCCCGCTGCACAATTTGTGAAGTACATCTTCCCTGTGACGTTGGAAGCTGCGGCGCGAATGATCTCCACACTTGGATACTGTATCATGTCTTTGAGTGCCTTTAGCACCAATGAATTGTTGACGGCCGGCTCAAACGCATAGATGACAGGTTTCCGAATCAAAGTCGCAGTGGAGTTCACACCAGAGTGGGAAAGGAGGGACAAGGAGCGAGGCACCTCCTCACAATCTTGGCACACGCCGCATAACCGCGGCTGCCCCTTGAACCTGCTTTCATACATAGTATATGCGTCCTTGAGACTGAACCCAAAACTGCCGTCAAATGCAATCAGCCATTGCATAATGCCGTACCCCTTGTTTGCCCCCACGTTTATCAGCACCGGCGCTTGCTCCTGCAGAAACTCCCGCACAAAGCCCAGGTATACGGAGTCTGCGCAGTTGACCGAGACTTCCTGAGAGTCGAGCAACGCGCGCCAGGTGGCAGCTTGGCCAACCCTTTGAGCATCGCTACAGCGGAAAGCCCGGCTGCGGGCCGGGGGAAAGCGCAGATCTCTTGCAACAGTGGGTACATAGTATGACTGAGGAATTGAGCGCATCAGCAGGGAGGAGTCTGGAGAGGACCGACGTACCAATTGCTGCCACAGGATCATCAGAAAGATCAGGGAGATTACTACAGGCACGACCATGTTCCACTTGACATTCCCCACTCTGGAAGGAAGATACTTTGAATACTTCATTGTCCAGCATTTCCAGGGGGCCCGCTAGATCTAGCAAATGTACCGCCCTACGCCCTCTGCAGTGGCGAGATCTAACGAGAGAGGGGCCTCCCCGGATGGACTAAAGCCCAGAACTGATACAATGTTGTTGACGTTAAAGAAGGTCTCGGACCTCCTGCGCGTTGTTTCTTGGCGAAAAAATTACGGGGTGTGCAAGCCCAGCTCGCAGCCCTGCCGAAGCCCTTCCCTTCTCAGATTCTGCAATGGATCTGCCACCGAGGAGCAGATGAATCTGATGATGCCTAGAACCGCCAGCGCATAATGCAGCTGACTGTCTGAAACTTTGCGTGGCAACTCCTGAGTCCAGACTCCAGAGTCCACTCCGAGTCCATGGAGCCATTCAATTTCCAACTTTCGACTTTAAGTTCGACTTGAGTACCGTCACGTTAGTCTCGACTTTATGTTGAGGTTTATAGGTGCATGTTGGATCATGCCCGGGGGACGGATGGGGTTGCTTTGGGGGTTTAGGAAGTGTACGGGTGGGGAGCATGTTAACTGTGGGTTTAGGTTTCTTGTTTGTTTGAGACCGGGGACTTGATTTAACTCAACATAGACCTATTAAACTCAACATAAACTCGAGATTATCCACTCAGATATAGGGATACCGGAGTGGTCACGTGACAATCACCACCTTACGTCCTTGTCAAAATAAGTCTCGATTTTATGTTGAGTTTGGTGTATGATTTAGATCAGTACCCCGGGCACAAACAAACCAAAAACCTAAACCTAAGGTTAACATGCTCTGTACCCGTGCCCACCCTTAAACCCCCAAACCAACCCCACCCGTCCCCCGGGCATGACCTAACTCAACATAGCCGTGACTCAACATAAAATCGAGACTACCCTCGTCAAATCCAGAGACTCGAATGCGCCCTTGCCATTGGCATTGGCATTGGCATTGCCGCATTGGACTACCTGTTGCGAGTGGCAGCGGACACTTCTTCCTAATATCACAGAGCGACCAAGGGTACCTTCTCTCTCCAGTTTGCTTGCTCTCCTTGCAGAGCAGGCTGAAGAATTTACTGTTTGCGAGACCAGCATGCTCGATGATAGCATTTCTATCTTCTCTGTGGCGTACATACAAGTCGGTTATCAGACCAATTCAGGGCTTTGAGTTTGAAGGAAATTGAGGGGGACTGCATTGATGGAAACACTTGACTAACAGGTGAGTCCTTTGGGCTGAGACTTTGAGAAGGTTAGTGCGTCTTCCTTGACTTTGTTGTTTGCACGAACAATTGAATTGGGTGAAGCTGCAAGTCGCATGCTGTCAAAGCACCTTTGCAAATAAGCACCGGTCTTGGTGAGTTATAATAGAGCTCAAGATATAGCAAGACATCTTGCTCGGGATAGGCGGGGCTAGTAAGGTTTTAGTTTGGGCACGAACCCAGGGCGCGTGATTGTTTGGGTCCAGCTTTATACTTTTGGTTCCAATTTCAACTCTGATATAAGGCGAACTTATTTAACCATCCTAGAAATATTTGGATGAGCAGGCACACAGGACCTTGCTGAAGTAAATGCTCCGCTGACGGTATGGACGATTGGTTGACGTGCACGTCTTCTGTTTTGGGGCTCAGTATACCTACAAAGATTTCCAAGAGAGTCATTGCGAAAACAGTGGGCACACTTTATGTGGCAGTCAACTTTTGTACTGTAGAGATGGAAGTTCGTGCACACAGTCTCAGTATCCTCCAAACAGGTCTTTTCTGGCAACCTGCACAAGCATGATACTTCTTGCTTAGTTGTGCTGATGATATGCGTAAGAAGGGGAATGCATATCAGACAGTCCAGAGCTCTTGGCAAGAGCACCACATTAATCTCTGGGGCTGACATCAGCAAAGCACTTTGTTACGACTTGATAAGGCTCAAATGACATCACATCTGTTTCACTACTGCGATGCTGATGTTTGGTTGCCCAAGGAGGCTCGCTTTGCAGTTGTCAGGACGATCGCCTGAGAATTAGCAGACACTACAGTCTCTTGAACAAGTTACATATTGAATTACATATTGAATAATGAATTGAATTGCTTGGAACATGGCGCTGCAACCAGAGCTTTGCTGGGTGCCTTCAGTGCATATCGGCACGAAGATGATGTTGGTCGGATTCCCATACCCAAGCATCCAGGAAGTCAGAGAGAGACCAGAAATTTTGGGAATACCAACCAGAGCACATTGGTCGCTGAAAGAGAGGTCTCTGGGAGGGGATTCTACTGTCTAAGAAGAGAAGCGAATGGACAGTGGTTGACTTACTAGTAGTTAGGAGTCACCAAAAAAGTAATGACGTGTTTCCTTTGGGTTGCAGGTCGCTCAACACGTTCTGCAGGGCTTAGTTGCGAAGGAGCAGAAGAATGGGGGGAAAGGGAAATAACCTTACAAAGGGAGCAGAAGACGGAAGGGGCTCGAATAGCAACAGCAAGCATGGCCAGGGTTTTCATTGGCCGCTGCCTTCCTCGCTCGCTAACCCGTTCGCTAACCCGCTCTCTAACCCGCTCGCACTGTTAGCCGACCAGCTCGATGACCCGCGGATGCAACGAGGAGTCACCTTTGTGAACTGGACTGCTGGGGGAGACTTCAATCTCCGGAAAGGTGCAATGGAAGAAAGGTCTTCTTCCACAGAGGAAAAGGCTGGCGCACGCAGATTCTCCTTCTTTGGGGTGCAACTACCGGACTTTCCATCCGTGTCTATCGAACCACCGAATCTCTTGCAAACCGCCAGGATCTCCGCTAACCCCCTGGTTTGGGCCGCCTCAAACAGCAACCCCATGAACCAGGACTCTAAATCTTCCTCAAATACCAGCTCGCGATCTCAGCTTAGCCAAACCGACCCCCCCCCATCCACTTCTCCGCAAAAAGCATCCCTTCCCTCTCCGTCGAAACTCCCCCCAAAAGCAGAGCAGTCACGAGGGGGGGCAAAATCACAGCTCCCCGAGGGGGGTGCGACAGTCAGCCCGCCGGTGGGGGGGAAAGCGCAGCCCTCCGAGGGGGGGGTTGGCACGGCCAGTCAGCTGCTTGGCCAAACGGAGGCAGTTTTGGATTCGGTCAAACTGGCGGTGGCTGGAATCTCGTCGAATGTAATGGACAATCTGCCGCCGTTGCGGAAGACGGCGTATCCGGACCGCCGGAAGCTGTCGTCGGTGCAGGAGTTCTACCGGTACACTGAAGCGGAGGGTGAGAGTCGGGCTCTTGTGCTTTGTTTTCTAGTCTGCTGTCATTATTGTTCCTCAGACAATACTTTTCTTTCACTATCAGGTTTGCCACTGGAGGGCTTCAATGTCACTTCGTTTTTCCCTGGTGCCTTCTGAGGTTGCCAAGCACACCAAGTTCTTCAGAAGGGCGAATCGCACCCTGATTCTGATCGACGCCTCTCCCTCATCCATGCATCCACAAGCTCCACATTTTCGAAACCTGTGGCCATTCGCTGTTTCTTCAGCGAGGGTTTCAATCCTGCATTTTCCACTCTCTTTGAATTATCTTCTTGCTTTGAAGGGTGTGCTTACCGCCCCCTCGTCCACAAGCAGCAACCCCGTTTGGCCTTTCCCGGATGAAATATCGAACGGGATCAGAATTATCATACTAACCTGCACGCCTGCTTAGCTATCACAATCGGTGAATGGACAAAACCGCTCTCAAATCAATGTAGTTTCCCTTAGTCCCCATTACATGCCAATTTGGTCCCTTGGTCTTACTCTAATTGCATCGAGAGATAACTCTGCCAAACCGGTTAAACCCGTCAGCAAACCCGTTATCGAATCCGCTATTAGACCCGTTTTAGTCAACCTCATTGACCCCGGAGTTTGGTTCCCTACCAGGCCGCCGCCTTTTTGAGGAACTAGACGCGGACCGCGATGGGAACGTCACGCTTGAAGACCTTGAGGCAGCCATGCGGCGTCGACGGCTTCCTCAGGTAAGCTGCTCGATCTCTCGGAAGTGTTAATAGGCGGACTTGTTTCCTCCCACCTAAGTCGTAACCCTTGTCTTCTTCTTGCCCAGTTACGTCAGCGATACAGGAACTGCTTTCTTTACCCTGCATATAGCAGTTGATTGATAGGATCCAACTAAGGCGCACGTTTGAAAGTGAGTGCTTAAAGTCCGCCTTTCGTCCCACAAAGTTTTCCAACACTTTGGAACATTTGTCTGCATGCCAGAAAAAGTTTCAGATTGGTGTTGTCCATCTCTCCAGAAGCATGCGTGCAGATCATTGTGCACTTTTACAAAGTCTGGCACTTTTACAAAGTCAGGCGCAGCCTCGCTGCAAAGTCCTTCATGTGGGAGAAGTTTTGGCGCTGATGGACGACTAAAACCCAATTTCATGTGCTAAATTCCACGTCCGTTGTGGACCAGATTCACAACTGGAGTTTCTCCTCCTCTCCAGGAGTATGCGCGCAAGTTCTTGCACAAAGTCCGGCGCGGCCTCTTTGCAAAGTCCTTCACGTGGGAGGAGTTCTCAGCGCTGATGGACGAGCGGGAACCAGCGATTCTGCGGGCATACAACTCGCTTGACTTGAACTCGGCAGGAACGCTGCAGCGGAGCCAGATCAAAGCGAGCCTGCAACGCAATGGGCTGCCGACGACAGACCGGAACATAAACGCTATGGTGAGGATCATATCGTTTGGGGCTTTGGTGCTCAAGTTTTTGGGGAGTCTTTTGCGAGTTTTTTGGGATGCTGAGATGCAGACACATCAAGGCGAGCCTTCACAGAGAAGGGCTGCCAACGACAGACTGGAAGATAGATGCGACGTTGAGAGGTTTACCTTTTAGGGGCTATAATCATTGCAACTTCGGGAGTGTCGTTTGGTTAGGGCTTTTTGGAATGCTGAGTTGGAGCCACATCAAGGCGAGCCTGCAGCGCCACGGGCTGCCAACGACAGACCGCAACATAAACGCTATGGTGAGTTCTACCTTTAAGAAAGTTGCCCGATTCCAGCATCTTGCCCGGTGTAAGAGTTATCGGGGGACTGAGACGGATTCACGTCAAGGCAAGCCTGCAACGTAACCGGTTGCCAAAGATGGACCGGAGCAGATATGCTCTAGTGAGAGTTTTATATTTTTTGTGCATTGGGTTGAAGACATATTAGGAGTCTCGTTCTGTGGAGAGCTCTTTGAAGATGCTGACGTGGGGTATATCCGGTCGACAGAGCCTGCAATGGTGTGCTCAGAAGAATGCTTTGTCGCCTTCGTTTGAATTGTTAGAACGTGATTCGAACCCCGCGAAAGGGTACCCGTTCCAAGCTTGCCAGCACGTACTCGTACTCCAGCATCGTCCGAAAGCGGGTCATAACCTATCGCAGAAGATAATGTAGCTGGCTTTACAGCGAAGAAGGTTGTCCTGAGAATGTCAGTCCATTTTGCAGATGCGCTTTTTGACGGGAGAAGCCGACGGCCAGATAGCTTATGGACAGTTCCGGAACTTCCTGCTGTTGCTGCCCCCCGAACGCCTAAGAGATCACCCGAGGTCAGCGCCTTTCCTTCTTTTGGGCTCAATACGGAGTGTCTAGAACGTTTCGTAGGATGTTCTCGAAGAGTCCGCCACTTACTCAGGCGTCTCGAACCCCTTACCAGGTGCGCGAGCAGTACTCCAGCTCCTTTGATTTGCTGTCTAAGTTGAACGTGCTCGGTAGGAGTAGCAAAGGAAACAGTAGGACATCACCCGGATCGTCGGCTGGCGCCTGCAAAGTATTTTGTTGTGGCTGTCATGCATGGGCTGCGCCACCTGCTTCGCGCCTGACATCTTTCCATTAAAGCGGAAAGCTAGAAAGACCCGTTAGCAAAAAGCAACCGAGAAGGATACACCTTTGACGAGCAAATGCTATCAATCCAATGTTCTTCCTTTTAGTACCGTGTGCTTAGAGTCGGCCACGGTACTACTTCTTCACGCCCCTGCTGTCGCTACGGGGAGTTTCTGAGGGTTACGGTGGAGTTTCAGAAAAATCCGCTCGCAAAACGCAACAGAAAAGGATCAAAGACAAAGAGAATACACCAGAGGCCGAATATATGTTTCTTTTGCAGTACCGTGTGGTTCGAGGCGGCCGCTGTGGCTTCTCTCTTCGCCCTTGCTGTAGCTAAGGGGAGCTTCTTAAGGTCACGGTGAAAACTCAGAAGAAGGCAACAGAAAAGGATCAAACAAAATCAGGAGACGATACATACCGAAGGGATCTTTCTTTGCAGCACCGTGTGGTTTGACGCGGCTACTGTGGTTCCCCTCTACGCCCGCGCTGTTGTCACTGGGAGCGTTTCAAAGTCAAGAGTGGACTTCCAACGAGACTTCCCAGCAAAACACAACAGAAATCGATCGGAACAAAGACGACAAGCAAATGCCAAACACCCAAACTTCTATCGTGCAGCACCGTGTGGTTTGAGGCGGCTACTGTGGTTTCCTTTCTACGCCCCCGCTGTTGGCACTGGGAGCGTCAACAGTGGACTCCCGAAGAGACGTGCTAGCAAAAGTCAACAGAATCCGATGGAAACAAGACAAAGCAAACGCCAAATAGCAAAAAATCTCCCGTGCAGCACCGTGTGGTTTGAGGCGGCAACTGTGGTTCCCCTCTACGCCCCCGCGGTTGCCACTTGGAGCGTTTCAAATCCACAAGAGTGGACTTCCGAAAGACATGCTAGCAAGATTTAGCAGAAACCGATGGGAATAAAGACAAAGCAAACGCCAATTACCAAAACTTTTCTCGTGCAGCACCGTGTGGTTTGAGGCGGCCACTGTGGGTCCCTTCTACGCCCCCGCTGTTGTCACTGGGAGCGTGTCGAATTGAAGAGTGGACTTCCGACGAGACATGCTAGCAACATTTAGCAGAAGAAGATTGGAACAGAGACGAAATGCAAATGCCAAACACCAAAACTTCTTTCGTGCAGCACCGTGTGGTTTGAGGCGGCTACCGTGGTTCCCCTCTATGCCCCTGCTGTTGCCACTGGAAGCGTGCTGAAATCGGCTCTGGCGGGAGGCCTTGCTTGTGCGATCCCAACTTTCTTTCTACATCCAGTCGACACTATGAAGGTGGGCCGTGTCTAAAACGCAGGTATCTCATTTCCTGGCTATTCCAGATACAGTTGAGATGAAAGGCTCGAAGTTAGTTGCGATTTTCGATTCAGGAGGTTTCCAGACCGACACGTAGAGGCCTCGATTATGCGCAGTCCTTACTTTCTTCTGCAGCCAGTCGACACGAGGAAGGTGGTCGTTTGCAACTTTCTACTTCCAGACTCCACCTTCCAGCTGTCGAGCTCGCCAGAAGTATCTGATAGCAAAGACTTGCAGTCAGCTTGCTTCATCCCGTGATTTTTCGGGTCAGGAGCTTCTCTGACAGGCTTGTCATACCCAATAGCTTAAGCTCGGGTTTTGAACGCGCGTCCAGCTTTCAGTTTTTGTACGGAGTACAGTTTTGTATTTGTGCCGCCCAAAAATAATTCTGGAATCCCTGATGGTCTGGCGCGTCGGACCCGGTCGAGATCTAGATCTGTTCCCTATGGTCACGGTAAACTTTAGGTCAGGACTTGCTTCTGCTGACGCCTGTCTTTACTCGTAACCGACGATGATTAACGATGAACGACTTGGGTTTCCAGACGAGAGTGCAAGCATCAACCATGTCTCTGCGAGACCTGGTCCAACAGCTCCCCGAGATTGGCGCCCGGGGGCTGTACCGAGGGGCGGTGCCAGCGATTGCGGGCCAGTTTGCGGGGTGAGTCCCTTGACACCAGGTCGTTTATTGGGCTCACAGGTGCGGTAGGGATACTCGGCCGAGTGCAAAAAGGTTAGAGATTAACTTTGAGACGGGAGAAATGTTTGCTTAGCGATGCAGTTTTATTGCTTGGGGCTCGGGTAGTGTTTTGGTGCTAGGAATGTACTGCAGAGGTCATCCGTTGACAGGGCGTTGAGTGGAACGGTTGAGAAATATGACGCAAACGATGTGGGAGGTGGAACGTGCTCGGACAAGAGCGAAAGCAGAGGAGAATCCTTTTCAGGATCAAGAAGGGTCGAACTGATTGTGTTGAATGCACTCTGCAGGCAGGGCCTTCGGACGGGCATGCTGGAGGCGAGCAAGGCGGTGCTGAAAAACGTGGCCCCGGACATTCCGGAAATGCAGGTAGGTCACGTGAACATGTGAAATGGTTTCAAGTCTCAAAAGTTCCAGAATGTGAACACCAGAACGTTCTGGCGATGCCGGAATCCTCGGAGGGTGCAACGGTAATGCTCGTGAAAGGCAACGGTGCGTTTGGTCCAGAAGCGACGTGAACCTTTTCTCGAACACCAGAACGAGAGGGCGATGCGAAGATCTTCGGAAGTGTCACCACATGTGGTTTATGATCCTTAGTTTGTTGGAAAACGGCGATGGACGATGAACGTAGGAGACGAGAAACCTGATGAACGTTGAGCCCAAAACGATTGAATGCACATGTCTTGATACACGGGGAAGATATGTACGCGTTGCCCGACGAGTCCGGATCACAGGTTCTCAACACCATGTCGCTCGCTTTACTGCTTAGGTGCAATCGTTGGCCTCGTTTACGACCACATTCCTTAATTTGCACGGCCCTTATCCACTCCCAAGGTGTATGGAGGGTTCTCCGTAGGAAAAGGCACGCTTTTAATAACCGTTGCATTGAAGCTTTTGTGAAGTCGCAACAGCACGTCTTCTTGTACCTGCTCAGGTGCAGTCGTTGGCGTCATTTTCAAAACCTTTAGAGGTACACAAACCACCTGTGATGAAGTCTCGTTCTTTCCATACGCAGCTCTCTACGGCATCTCTCATCTCCAGGTGCGCTGCTGGCGTCCGTGAGAAATAAAAGGAGAAAACAAAGTCAGAGAAACCTGAATATCTCGACATGCTCTCAAACCCACGTCTTCCACTCTCCTGCTCAGGTGCAGTCGTTGGCGTCGTTTACGAGCACGTTCATGGGCACTGCGCTGCGCATCCCCTGCGAGGTGATCAAGCAGCGGTGCCAGGCGGGGCTCTACGACAACTGGCAGGCAGCTGCGATCGGCACGTACAGGTCAGCTACTTATCGCGTTTGGAGGCTGTTCACCATGGTTCTTCTGCAGAGGCTGTGTGAAAAAGACTCAGAAGGAAGCTAGGACGGAAACATATTGTCGACCTGAAACGATGAGAGCTCCCAGACGGCGGCTGTCAGAACGGATGGGAGGAGAACGCGGACTGCAGTTTGCAGTTTCGATCCCCTACACCATTTGGTAGTTTGTGCCCGAGAACCAGTCTGGTAATGTCACTGCCGGATTTCTCGCAACCTAGCAAAGCAGCTTTCATGCTGTAGATCGGCTTCGAAAGCGGCTGACGGGTCAATCCGCCGAGAGTACCAGTTACGCGCCTTGAGGACCAGGTGGTGTGGGGGTCTAGGACTGCAAAGTGCAATCCACGTTCTCCTTCCGCCAGGTCTAGTTGCGTCTGGAGGCCTTGATTTCGAGGGTCAAACTTTGGATGATATGGACGTTAGTCTAAACGTAGCTCAGAGTAGTTCTTGGTTTGACAAAGTCAGGGCAGAGCTTCGACTTGTTGTTCCAGGTCGCGGGTTGTACATCTATGTGCTCCTTTGCTCGGCGTATCTATTGCGAAGGACGAGACTGGTCTTGTAGAACGAACACATCGGCCTTCTCACGAATGATCGCCTCTCTGCCGAGAGGTGCTTACGCTCGTTTTCTGATTCGTCAACAGTGTATTTAAAGTTCACATCAAACCCAGAGGTTAGATCAAACCTTACTTTCGCTCAATTTCTTGGACTGTATCTGCTTCGCTTGATTAGCTGTCCTTGGATGACCTTGAACGATAGGACATGCGAATGTTGGTGTTCCCAGTCGTATACCTCACTAAGACTCTCCGTTTCTGAAACGTCTGGGTCCCCGTGATCTTCTAGAGGCTGAGGGTTGGAGCAAAGAAAGGAGGAGGCAGAGCTTGGTTTCTCAGACTTTCACCAACTTTTCATTTAGGAGCGTCGGCCTCCGGGCTTCTTCCGTAAAACAACCGTGACACTCGTAGCACGCCTCGATTTGTATTCCTTATTTTCCCTGAAAAGCTGGGTCTTCGGAACTTCCTAGAGGCTGAGTTGGATTGAAGAAAAGAGGAGGCTGTAGGGTTTTAGGTTTAGGATTGGCATCTCAATCTTTCACCCTCCTTCCTTTCAGGAGCGACGGCCTTCCGGGCTTCTTCCGTGGAACGACCGCGACGCTTCTCCGAGAAGTGCCGTTCTACGTGGCTGGGATGATGATCTATGAGCAGATCAAGAAGGGCGTACGGAAAGGTGCGACAGCAAATCAGGCTGCTTTCTTGGCTGCCGTATCTGTACTCTTCCATCTACATGAAAAGCGTACCATCTTGTTCGTCCTGTTATTGGAGGAGTCACACAGCGGAGTGCTCACTGCGTTTATTCAATCCGCACTCGAAGCTTTTGCGTTTCACCGATTCGCTTGCTCTGACTGTACTGGTCAGGAACAACTTCTTCACAGGGATCCGGTTCAGTAACTTATCAGGTAAGGCAGGCGAGCAGTTACTTTCGCTGTCAATTCGGCTTCAAAGTAAGCCAAGCATACTGTGAAAGAACCAGGAACAGCCGCTTCTCATTGAAAGCATCAGACAAACACGGACTAACATCGGGTTTGCTTTCCCGCAGGGATTCGACGAGAGCTGAAGCCATGGGAAACGATTGCTGTCGGGGGGTTCTCCGGGGGCCTTGCTGCCGTCACCACCACCCCCTTTGACGTCATCAAGACGAGGATGATGACAGCGCAGCCGGGTAGGTATCGCACCAATTTGTGGCAGAACGGGACTCCGGCAAGGGAAGCAAGTTCATTGATATAGAACGAGTCGAGGCCAGAGGACTGCTCTGCCGTAAATCCTATTGTTTTTGAAACTCTAAACATCAGCCTCTCAAAACTTGGAGTTTTGAATCTTCGGCAGCTAATAGCGTCCTGACAAACCTGAAAAGCCTGAAGTGCGTTCCTTTTAGCATGGGCGCATAACTTGTACAAGTCCCGGAGAACCAGGGCGTCATGGCCTCTCCAAGGAGCGTATATCTCGTTTTCCTTGCGCACAGTGAATCCTAACCCGATCGACACCTCAGCTCAAGACCTTAGCAGTTGTCAAGACGCCCCTCTTGATCCTCCTTAAGGCCGACGTACATTGTCATCTTGGAGAGCGAGGCAGTGATGGCCTTCGACGAGGAGTGCGAGAATCAGGACCAATAACATACCGAAGTACCGAAATTTCAACCCGTCGAAGACGCGATTGCAAACGCAGGGAATTGTTCCCAAACTCGTCTGCTTCTGCCAGGCGTAGCAAGCAGCATGGGAGCGACGTTCGTCCACATTCTGAAGAACAAGGGTGTCATGACGATCTCTAAGGATGCGCTCTTCTGCCTAAACTTATTCACATTCTATTGCGAACCCCCAACCCTAGATGTATGGAACTTCAAACACCCCCAAAACACATGGTTCCAAAAGCTTGAAGTGAATCGACTTCGTTAGTGCCAAGCGGGCTAGCAGCATGGGATGCGACGTTTGTTTACAATCTAAAGAACGAGGGCGTTCTGGCGCTTTACGGAAATTCGCTCTTTCTACCCAGACGCATTCAAAACCCGAACTACCTAACCCCTACTCTTTGAAGTATGTTTTCCGAAACGCGTACTGTCGTGCTTTTGCCAGGCGTGGCGAGCAGCATGGGAGCGACGTTCGTCCACATTCTGAAGAACGAGGGCGTGACGGCGCTCTACAAGGGGGCGCTCTTTTGCCTCGACTCCAAAACTCGAACCACCAAATTATCAATCCTTGAAATATGTATCTTCAAACACCGCAAAACATTCAGGTTCAGAAAATGAAAATAAAAAGCTTGTGCTTTTGCCAGGCGTGGCGAGCAGCATGGGAGCGACGTTTGTGCACATCCTGAAGAACGAGGGCGTCATGGCGCTCTACAAGGGCGCTCTGCCGCGCTTCTTCTGGATCGCCCCCCTCGGGGCGATGAACTTCGCGGGATACGAGCTGGCAAAGCGCGCGATGGAGGACCAGGACCGGAAGCAGGCGCGCGAAGCGGAGGTAAGTGTTGGGCTTTTGCTAAGGGTTTTGGTTGCTCCTAAAATGATTTTCTATCGAACAAGTCGGCTTGCACTTTTGATAACCCGGTGGCTTTGGCGAGGTACGAGCTGGCAAAGCGCGCGATGGAGGATCAAGATCGGAGACAGGCGCGTGAAGTGGGAGGTGACTTATGAGCAAGTTCTCAGATTTGCACTTGCTTTGTCAAGCTGCAATTGGGTTATGGGGCAACGGAGCGGGTCGTTTTGCGGAACGAGAGTTGGCAAAGCGCGCAATAGAGGATCAAGACCGGAAACAGGCGCGCGAAGCGGAGGTGAGTGTTGGGCTTTTGCAAAGTAGGTTCTTCTATATCGTGCAAGTTTGCGTTTATAGGTGTTTGCTTCCATTAAAAAAAAATCGGGTGACCTCTGCGGAAACAAAGCTGGCGAAGTGCGCGGTCAAAGACTAGGACCGGAGGCAGGCGCGCGAAGCAGCGGTAAGTGTTGAGCTTTTCGCAAACTTAGGGTTCTTGAATGTCTACGCATGGATCCGTCAACCATCCGTGGGGGGTGGAGAAACAAGTCTCTTTGTCTGGGAAGCAGTCTGAATGCTTAGCTTCGTCACGTGAACGCTACGAAACGCAATGCTGTCTTGTACTGCCTTAAGCCGTCGTTGTCTCCGCACCGGCCCTCAAAGAAAGGCGAAAGAAACATCGAAGCGGATTCCCAATGTTGCCATGAGTTTGAAGGAGAAGGTTTGAGGTGGGAGCGGGATGAGCGTTGGAGAACGGAGCGGAATGAGGGGGAGATTGGAGCGCACCTGAGCCGCCTCGTTTCTCTTCGCTGCATTCAATTGTCAACGGAACGAGCGCGCGTATCCAGAATTCTTCTTTCGCCGCAGTTACTTACTGGATCAAAAGCAAACATTAGCATTCCGTTCCGTTTCAGGCAACAGCGGAAGCGGAGCTCCGGGCGCTGGAAGAAGCGGAAGCCAATCAGCGGCGATCCGTCTTTCCCCAGTTTTCCAAGCTGCCCGACCTGCGGGAAAAGCTGCCCCGGTTACGAACGGTTTTGTCGGACCTTCGGACGCGCGTCTCAAAGCCCCGGACGTCCGGTCAGCGGAGTACGGTTGCTGGAAGCGTGAAGGGTCTTGTCGAGCGGATTGGCGGGCGGAACAAGAGGGAAACGGAAACGGAAACGGTAACGGACATAGAAACAGCGGGAACCGGGCGAATAACTGGTAGGGTTGGCGGGTCGCACGAGAAGGGGTACGTAGGGGGTTTGGAAAAGGAGGGGTCGACTCAGACCCTGGGAAAGGTCGAGTTGGAAGAAGTGAGGGGGGAAACGGGACTGAAGGGACTGGTAGCTAGGATTGACAAGCAGAGGAAGGGGCTGAATTCGGTTGGTGGATTTACCTGGCCTGGGAAAAGCAAGGAGGGAGAAGGGAGTGAGAAAGGGGTCACGAAAGAATCTGTCAACACGGTTAGTGGGCACAAGGGGGAAGTACCAAGCAAAGAAGGATCGGGTCAACCAGTGAAAAATGCGAGCGAGGAAGGAGTGAGTGAGCGGGTTGGGGAGTCGGTGGCAGCAACGCTGCGCAAGAGTGAAACGGAACCGGCGCAACGGGAAGGAGAGGCCCCGTTGGCGGGGAGTGTGGGCGGTGCCAGTGGGCGTTTTGGAGCAGCGGCGGGCGAGACAGGGCCTGCGAGTGTACCAGTAGAGCAACGAGATCGGCGAGGTTTTCTCGCGGGTGTGCCCGTACCCGGCATATTTAAGAGGCCTCGAAAAGTGGGCTCAAACGGGAATGACAGAAGTGCGGGGACCGGATCGAGTAGGGCGAATCTTGTCACTACGGATGTACAAAGCGCAAATGATGCAGAGTTGGAAAAGGATGGCTCGGTTTCCGAGGGATTGATTGCGGCGGTTCAGAAGAAGGATGACATGGAAAAGAAGTAGGCGTGTGATGGCTGTGGAGACTTTTTGTTGATCAGCTTTTGAGGCGCATGCGTTTGGAGGTGTTTTTGCTACTAAGAACTGCCAGGCGCCATGCTTTTGGACGGCAGATGACATTTTTGGGGACCATGTCTCATGATGGTTTTGTGTCAAGATTGAGGTAAGGTTTCATTTCCAATAGTGTGTGCAGACACTGACAGACACGGAGGTGAACGGTACGGATAACTCAGTGTTTGATTGATGGCCCAAAGTTGTTGGGACCCGGGGTCTGAGCTTTCGTGAAGAAGCGCACAGCGGCGGAACGGCCAGTGCCTCCACCTTGCATGTACCTTACCTGGTACATGCACAACTTCTGGTTCAATGTCATACCATCGTTTACATTCTGAACTCCCCAGCAGCGCGGCGGGCATGCGATGAGTCACTTCAACCATTGAACCAACAGCTTTAACGATACCGTTTCACGCAAGGAAGTTTTGCCAGAAGTCGAGAATATACATCATATCGTCCGACCAGGCTCAGTTGCAGTGCCGATGACGTACATACACGGACCCGTACGTACGCTCATGGACGTACGGTATCAAGCCGGGCCGCGACGGCCCGGCGCGCTGTTTGACGTACTTATCGATCGAAGATCATGCTCACCGGCCCATGACTGTATGTGTTTTTCAAGTACGGTCGGTGCAAAATCTGTATGAAGTTTCTGCATGCTGGCCCCAAGCTTGCCGCAGCTTGCCGCGAATGCACACATGCCCCCCGGCCAGGCCCGGTGGCCGCCGGCCGGTACACCATGATTACGGTAGTGAATAACGTACTTAAAATTACTGATCGAGTCAGAAGAGGTAGTTACATTCACATGATCCCCTGCATGTGTTTAGCAGACGCATGATACGAATGATTAAGTTAAATAGGTAGGCACTCACAAGGATTGAAGCTTATACTTAGTTAACGTACCGTGCAAGCATCATAAATTCGAATCAACATCTAAGTTTGGATCAGCGGGCACGTGTAAATTAAAGCCCATCATCATTGCACTATAAGGGGAGCAGGCTAGCTAGCGTGCCATGGCAATGATGCAGCGCTCATCAGTGGGCATGATACCAACTTGAACTTACGGCTGCGCGGCACCTGCGCGGCTGCGCGGTTGCAGTTCGTGACTCGGTCAGATGGTGCCTGTGCATCACGGATGCTGACGATCATGAGCAGATTCCTTCAGAGAAAGATCCAGAATCTTAAGATGTTTAGACACTGCGCCGGGGCTGAACTTAAGCTTTGGAGACCCTTGCTGCAGCCGGCCTGGCTCTATTAAGAGGAAGGCAAATATAATAGAGCCAGGCAAATGATCATTCTTTATTCGATCAACTGATCCCAAGGACTCAGCTCTAAAGCGGCTACTATAAAGTGTGCAGATTTTGGTCACGTAGCCGGCCCGATGGGGATCCCCCTAGGTTACCGTGCCGTGCAACAACCGGCAGCGCGTCGTACGTGCGCGCCGTCTGAGGCCATTTCCGTTCGAAGGAGTTCTGATATCTTCTTTTCGGAAAAGCCCGGATCGTGCAAGTGAAGTAGATGTGTAGGACGGAGACTGGAGATGTACATAAACGGTGCCCGTCCTTATGATAACTCTGAACTCCTAGCAATTCCAACAATGTCAATACATAGACGTCTGAACATATAGGAGCTAGATACAGGCGTCTAATGCAATGTATGTTTGAAGCGGTGTCGTGCTATCAAGAATCACCAAGTGCGTCGATTACTGAGTGCATATCAACGACGGCACCCAAGTCTCTCATGGCTTCGGTTTTCCAAGCTCGGTAAGGATAGCTAGACCTGAGCTCAACTCGTAGTCACCCAAATCTCACGGTACGGTCTACAACAGGCATTTCCTTGAAAAATAGCTGCCTCTTAAAGCATCTACGCCCATGTTCATGTAATAGAACGACCGCAGCAAAGTTACCGGCTGGGTTTGGCTGATAACCAAGCTCAGTAACCAAACTCTAGTAAGGTTCTGAAACAATAACCGCGTTGTAAAGGTCTGAAAACTGTGCGACTCTGGTCAGCGGACTTAGAACCAGCTTCTAACCAGCCCGTAACCCGTCATAAGTAACTTGAACCCCCCAAACAATACCTTCCTAATGCGCGCGCGCGCACGCCCCTGATCGCGCTAAATCTGCAGTTTCTGCGCGAGCTTCTTCTCCATCGAGAGCGTCTTGAGGTCCAGTTTGGGCGCCGACGGGTCGTAAACTTTTCCGTACCCGACGATTCGCTCCCAGAGCGACAGGTGGCGCGGTTTGATTGCTTCGCCCACGTACTCGCTGCTTCTGCCGTCCACCAGCATGAACCAGCGCGCGTCGGCCTCGCGCAAATCGAGGCCCGTAAGGTCCGGCACAAACACGATGGTTAGGACGAGACCTGCAAAGGGGAGGTCAGCGTTAACCTTGCACTAACCCCAGGCTTATAGCATGGTGATGAAGCAGGAACCAGCGCGCGTTAGCTTCGCGCAAGTAAAGGCCCGTCATGTCCGGCACGAAGAAGATGATTAAGGAGAGACCTGCAGCGCAGCAAAGGGGAGGTCAACGTTAACCTTGTGCTAATCTCGGGTTCCTGGCCTTGTGGTTAAGGAAGAATTTGCGCGTGTCGGCCTCGCGCGGGTCGAGGCCGGTGATATCCGGCACGAAGACGATGGTGAAGGAGAGACCTGCAAAGGGGCGGCAACGTTAACCTTGTACTAACCCCAGTTTCCTTCCTAGCGGTTCCTAGCTTTGTACGAAGCAAATTACCAGCACGCATCGGCCTTGCGCAAGTAGAGGCCGGTTATGTACTGACCGTCCCACTCACCAATGGCCCCGCAAATGGCGCACACGTAGAATCTGCTCTGATTGGACAGATGCTCGAACCAGAGCCCCGCCGTCAACGCACCCGCCTTGCCCGTCGCAGCGGCCATGCCGTGAGTGAAAGCCCTGAAACAGAAACGAAGTCGTTCATAGCAGGAAAGAACCGCGTGATCTGAAACAACAGAAGAACTGGCGAAAGGGCGATGTTTCAACGGAAGGATTAAGCGCTCAATCTACGTACGAATCACGTTTCATTGTCATCTGCTTTGAGAGATCTTGACTCTGAACGATATGATGTTAGTTGCGCTGGTGAAGAACAAGATCCGAACCTTAATTGTCACGCTTTTTGCAACCGCACGCACCCTATGCTAGTGTATGCGCCCACCGCTCACAGCCCTGTTAGTGTGCAAAACTGGGTTTGCCTTGTCTCAGCAGGGTGATCATGTCCGCGGACAGCAGCCAAGTTGTTGAGTAACTAGGTCAGTGTGCCCGACTAGACCACCCCGTCCCATTCGGAAGCTCTACTAGAGCACTGACAGCCAAGTTGCTGGGTTAGGTCAGTGTGCATACTCAGGTAAACTTCGTCTCGCTCGAGAGGATCTCCTCGGGCAGTAGCAAAATTTCGGAATGAGGCTAGTGTGCAGAACAAGGTTTGACTTATTGTTTCGGTGGCAGCCAGAAAGACGAGTAGGTTACTTTGCAGAACTGGGATTACCTCGTCTCAGTCGGGAAACTCTCCGCGGGCGGCAGCCAGGTTGCCGACTTAAGTCAATGTAGGTAATTAGGTTTACCTCGTCTCAGTTCTCGGGCAAAGATCTGGCCGCGAGGTTAGGTTAGTGTCAAAATTGGTTTACCTCGTCTCGGTCGGAAAGATCTCTCCAGGCAGCAGCCACGTCGTTGAGTTGGGCCCCCACTGGCCCCAGAAGGAGCTCATATAGTACAGGAACTGGAACACGTGGATGTGCGCCGGTTTGATGAGGTCCGAGTACCATATCGCGCACGCGAGGAACAGCACGAAGACCCAGGCAAAGCCCATGATCTGCATAAGAGGCGAGCGGATTATCGAGGTATTTCGCGGAGAAACAGCACGAAAACTTAGGCAAAGCCCATGATCTGCACAGGAGACGAGCCAAGTACAGAAATTGTTTCGATAAATTGCCGACTTCGATTAGCAACGAATGCCGGCATACGCAAGAACCCACCCTCCCTGTTCATAGTAACTCGTTATGGCAAAAAGCGCCACAGAAAGCGAACGTTCTTGTATGTTCGAGCCAGAAGCTGCATCGAAGAAAACTAATTTCAGCTGTTTTGACGGGTATCTATGAAGGGAGCTCTGTAGAACAGCTTAGTGTTGCGAAGCTAGAACAATCACAGCACCGAGCACGTGAGAAGAGGAGCGTCTAACAAGCATGTGTAAGCTCATTGAGATATGCTTCTACCAACGAAACGAGGAGTGACGGAACGGAAGGTTATAGACACACTCTCCCCCAACAGACCCTTCGAAATCCTGAGAATAATAAAGATCTTAACATGGGAAATTATGGCTGCTAACCTAGCAAACTACCAGACTTGACTCTTAGGAGGTTATCGGACAAGTAACCCTTGTTCCGAGGCTGGTTACCGCTCAATTCTGCTTAACGGACACAAAACGACTTTCCAGACCAGCCCAGAACCAGCCCAGAACAATCCTTGGTTAAAGGCAAAAAACTCGTTAGAGGGCCCACCTGCATTCTGGTCCTTCCCATCCAGCGCTTATCGATGGTAAACGCGGCGAAGTAATAACCGACGAGGGCAATGACTGCGTTGAGAAGCGTGTACTCCACAGTCGTGAGGAGACCCACATTGGGACCCACGATGATCTTGATGAAGGTACCCTGCACACGCGAACGAGGTTAACATTGGAAAACAACCGACTAACAAGCTGGGTTAGGCTCTGGTTAGATGCTCGTTCACCAGCCGGAAAGAAAATAATAGGGGAAATATCTGAGCAACTTGGTAGATGTGCCCCGCATATAGAAAAGTGGTTGCCGCATGGAAATCAATCGTTAACTAAGCCCGGTTAGGCTCCGTTTGGATGCTCGTTCTTCGAATGGAGCTAAGGGGACCCACTGCACAACGATCTCGATAACCGTGCCTTGCAGACGAAAAGGAGGTCGACAAATGAGATAAAGACCCTTCAAGCTTGGTCAGGCTTCAGTTAAATAGCGAAGCTGATCACGAGCTGGTTAGAGCGCCTGGTTTCAAGGAATCTGGTTGAGACCGGAAACCTGTGCGTTCTGAAATCGAAGTCAGGCAAACCCCGACGCCCACTTTGAGGGGCGAGCCAGCATGTCAGTCAGACAGCGCCGGATTTGGCGAATGATTTTTACCTGGAGCAGCTTGTTCCCGTAAAAGGTGATGTTCCACAGGTACCAACTGACATGAACGCAGCTACTAACCAAACCGTAACCGGGTATGGTTTACCGCCTAAAAGAATACGAGTTTACCTGGAACAGCTTGTTCCCGTAAAAGGTGATGTCCCGCACGTAAGAACATAAAAGCAGCTACTAATCAACGTTTAGCCCGTAACCGGCCGTGGTAAACAGCCAAGAAAGCCTTAACCAGACAAACTTGGTTTACCTGGAAGCGCTGATTCCGAAAAGATGATGTCCCAAACGTACCAACTGGCAAAAGCAGCTACTAACCAAACCCGTAACCGGCCACGGTTAACAGCCAGAAATCCTTAACCAGACAACCTTGGATTACCTGGAAGAGCTTGTTCCCGTAGAAGGTGATGTCCCACACGTACCAACTGACGGCCGTGCCCAGCAGACGGTGCCAATAGTGATACATGAGCAACGAAAACTTGTGCATCGTGAAGCTGTCGTTCAGCCCCGCTTTCGCCATGTTGTTGTGCTTCGCTGGGAGAAAGACGCACAGAGAGGTTTTGATGCTAACCAGGTTGGGTTAACCAGGGCTAGAATTAATATCCTTGAGTCTGGTTATCGGACAGATGGGCGGGCGATTTTGTAGGTCAATTCTGTGCTCGCCGGAACAGACCCGCACAGGGACGATTTTTCACTACCCGGTTTGACTAACCAGCCCTGATACTGGTCGTCGGGCAGATAAGCGGGTTCTAACAAAGATTCCATTTGCGCTTCGCTGGAAGGGAGATCAGAGAAAGTTTTGCTGCTTCCCAAGTTGAACAACCAGCCTTGAGTCTGAGCATCGGACAGATAACCGGCCTAAGCCTTGGAGTGCTCTGAAGAACAGTTTCTCACCCTGCCAAATGGACGATTCCTTGAGCCTGAAGATGCGAATGTAGAGCATGATGAAGATCGGAATCAGGCCGACCGCAAACGAGAGGCGCCATACCCAGTCTAGGCGCTGTAAAGTAGAGAAGGGTTTGGATGCTAACCAGGCTCGGTAACAAGCCTAAATAATTTGGCTCTCCAGAGAAAATCGCGCTTAAGGGTTCAAAATTACCCGCGTCTTTTCAAACAAGTACGAAGCACAGGACGCGGTCGTGCCGGTAAAGAGCCCAGCCGAAGTACATCACTCCAGATGAAACGGAGCTAGATTCCGGTTTGAGGCCGGTTGACAGACCATAGGAGCCGATTCCCAAAAGTATGCATGGGGCTGTTGCTCGTGCGTTGGTTTGCTTTCCCGGCAATCCTTGAGTACTGGTCAAAATACGTTTGGAGAGCTTCGCTAAAAGTTTTTTCACGAATGCAGACCTTAAAGAACGTCTGCTGATAAACAGCTTTATTTTGTGGGAGAGCGTCTAACCGGAACCTAATCCGGCTTGGTAAACGATTTTGAGTCTTTGTGAGTAGCAACCTACTCAATGTTTCGTAAAGATTGAGAGCTGTGTACGAACCGCCCAGTCACAAATATTGACTCACAGGAAGGTTTCGCGCCTAACCGAACCTGGTTAACGAGCCATCACTCAGCCCGTTTTGTCTGGTTCAAGACCATCTTACGAATATCTAACCAGGCTTGGTTAACCTTTCCCCCGTCATCAAACACGGTACGTACCGTGGGATCGTATGTCGGGCCGTTCTGGTTGAACGCCGCCAGCAAAATCATGAGGACGATGACGTTAGCAACGTTGCCGACGCCCTGCATGGAAAACGTCAGCACGACCGTCTCGCCGCGGCGGTCCTGCAGCGCCTTGTCGGCCTCCGCGCGCTCGGCCGCGGACGATGACGCGACGGGGTATTCACCCCCCACGCCCAAACCGAAAACCAGCTGCAAACACAGGAAATTTGGCTGTTAACTATGCTTTGTTATGAGTCGACAAGAAAGTGGAGACATGTCCAATAAACAGACTTGGGCGATAACCAGCCTTGGAGGCCAGGTTAAGTAGCAGGGCTTTGAGCTATAATTTGAGACTGATAGTCTTTAAGATAGCCTGGTAGCAGCCAGAAGTTTCTTACAAGGATGCGACGTAGACGTGGGCTTTTCTAGAAGAGTGCGGAGCAAACAATACAAACCCTGAAGTGGAAGCGGCGGGGCTTATCCACCTCAAGCCCAAATCTAAGACCAGCTGTGCCAGAGGTCAGAGGTTCTGAAGTAAAGACGGGTTTCTCTGGAAAAGGCAGACTCGAGAGAACTTGACTGTGCAGCTTTCGAGACGTACTGATCCTTCGCAAGAGTGTGCAAAGGCCTTCCGCGTAAAAGTTACTTGAATGTGCAGCTCTGAGGTTTTAAGAAAAGCTTCGTGTGACCCGTAACGCCTGCCTTCAGCATCGGTGCCCTTCTGCTCATTGTGCCTCTCTTAATGGACAGCCCGATGAAAGGGGGCACGTGAGTTTTTCGTCGCGAATATTGTAACGACTTCTTCTGAAGTCGAAGTCGCTGCAAAGTCACAAGCTAGGACGTAGACATCCTCTTGATTAAAGACGAATCTCAAAAGATATCCGAATACGGTTCGACTGGTAAGAAACCCATTATCCCGAAAAGCACTTGCTGCACGCCCCTACCAAAGCCATTCCCCGAAATAACCCTGACCTTCTTATTGCGGTTGCGTCGTATCGTTTCGGCTTATCATTCGACCTTTCTTCGATGCTTCAAAGCGGTACGTACCTGCGAGATGGTGTACATGAGTAGTATGCCCTTCTGGTCCGGACCGTCCGACACGATGAGCATGACGGCTCCGAGCAGCATGATACTCGCGCACAGAATGGAGCCGCGCTTGCGGCCGAGGCGGTCCGCGAAGAAACCGATAAAGACCATGCCCGCCATGATGCCCGCAACCTGCGAGAAGAAGAGGCGGAGTAAATCGAGACCCGTTTCTAAGAACGTCTAAAGCAGAGGCAGGGAGTAATGAGACGGAGAAAGGAGACTTGCAGTTGGTATTGATCTAAGCGAGGTCGATCAATTCTTAGAGCGGATGTGGTCTCTGAGAAAGGGGGCTTGCTGTCGCCGAAAGCGCTTTTGGTTGGCAACCTGCGAGAAAGAGAGGCAGAGTGATTCACGAACCGTTGTTAAGACCGATTCTCGTTTGTAGAGGAAGGGAGGATTACGAGAAAGGCAGATATGAGGAAGGAAATTTGGCAGTCGGTGTTTTTCCCAAAGCTGGGTCAAGGTTAAGAACGGACGTTTCTCTTGTACGCCTCCGGTCGATTCTATTACAGAAACTGCCTTTCAATCTTTTTACTCGTTTGCAAGAGTTCGAATAAGTAGCGGAAATGAGAAGAAAGCCCGAAAATAGCAGAGCAAGAATTCTTTTCAATAGTTTGTGGAAAGGGAACTTTTCGGTTGGAATTGGTCATGAGTTCATTGTAAGATCGTTTTGAATCTGGATCCTGATCTGGTGCATCAGGGAGTCTACAACCGGGGACAAGAGGTACCAGTCAATCCTTTTCGGTCACTTTCCGTTGTGCAGTTTACTGGCCAAGGGGCTGAAATGGCCATGAATAAAAGCGGAATCCTATGGTAAGTTTCTGCTTCGCAAATAGCAGCTCACGACAATCAGACACTCGAATCCTCTTCTTCCGAAAATCATCTTCTCATCTTCTCTCCTCAGCGAGTTCCAGACGAAGTCTTGGACTGGTCACATCCAAGTTTAGGCTCAAGTGTGGGAATTGAAGAATGGTCCAGTATTTAGAGTGTTTCTAGCATCTTATTGGCCTGACGCGAGGCCGTGTTGAGTTTCTGAGATTCAAAATAGAGTTCCTCGTGGGTCCAACACTACAGATAATAAATGCAGTTCTAAGACGGTGTTAAGAATGACATGAAGAGATCCGGTCCGTATGAAAAGTCCCCTTATGAAAACCCATGGGCGCTCTGAAGAGTTGCACCGTTTTGGAGATCAGAATCTCAACTGCAAAGTCCCTTTCTAAGATTAGCGCTCAGGTTGAACTTGTGCCTCCCCGCCAGTACTAAAGAAAGTGGCCTTGAAGTCGGTCCTGGCTACATCTTTCTATCAACACGACGCTTTTTTCGAGCTCTGCAGGTCACATTTGATTCCCAAAGCAGGAACTGCCCAACTGGAGAATAGAGCAACTTCGCTCCTCAAGTATAGACTCGGCCCTTTTCATAGGATCTTATAACTGCAATTACAAAGTCATTCTGCATAGCGCAGTATTGTGCAAGTCTTCTCAAGATTGGGTGCTTGCCTGGGTATAGGTTGTGGAGTTGACGAGCCGTGAGCTGCAGAGCGGGTGCGACTTAGTGCCCCAGCATTTGGGGTACTCCTTTTGGAAGATGCTCGTCACGTTGCCAATGGAGAAGATGAAGTAGGCCTCTGAGAACATGCCCAGTCCGGGTACCACAAAGGAGAGGACCCATTGGACAAACCTGCGTAGTTACGAAAAAAACTGAGTGGTTAGGAAGAGGGAGAAAAGTGGTTAAGGGAAGAGATGAAGTAGGCCACCGAGAACATGCCCAGTCAGGGTACCACAAAGGAGAGGACCCATTGGACAGACCTGCGTAGTTAAGGAAGAAAGAAGAGTGGTTAGGAAGCGAAGGAGAGGATGGTTACGGGGAGAAGTGAAGTAGGTCTTTGAGAACATGCCCAGTCCAGGCACCACAAAGGACAGAACCTATTGGACAAACCTGCGTAGTTTAGGAAGAAAAACGAGTGGTTAGGAAAGAGAGGATGGTTAAGGGGAGAAGATGAAGTAGGCCTCTGAGAACATGCCCAGTCCGGGTACCACAAAGGAGAGGACCCATTGGACAGATCTGCGTAGTTAAGGAAGAAAAAAGAGTGGTTAAGGAGGAAGAAGAAAGTACTTTCGAAGATGAAATTGAATAGTCAAGGAAAAAAGTTTGAGGAGCCTGCCAATTGATGGGCAAAGACTGGGCGCCACAATTTGAAAAAACAGGACCCATTGGGGAAACCTGCGTAGTTAGGGAGAGGAACAAAAGGTTTTTGGGCAGCAGAATACTGATTGGTCAAGGGCTGGTTAGACGCTGGTTCATAAAATGAGAGGTGGGTAGTAAGCAGAAGTGTAACAAGGTCAAAAGTCCAGTTGTAGGTGCATCAAGCAGCTAGAATAAAGGCTGATAAGTCAGCCTGGTTAGAAGCCAAACCTCCCTTTCAAGAAGACTATGCGAGCGGTTCTTTTCGTTCCTTACAGAGGTCGTCTTGCTAATGGCTCTTCCAAACTAGAGATTGACAGAGAGGTGTAAAATTTTCAGGCAAACCGCGAAGGAACATTCTGACTTTGTTCCTTTGTTCCGGTTCTTCAATAGACAGTGGGAAGCGGAAACGAAAGCAACTATATTCTTAGCAGAGATCAACCAATTGACGAATACTGCATTTTGGGGTCACTTTTCAATGTCAACATTCTGTTCTTTTGAAAGGCCTTCAATGTGGGGCTATGCAAGTGCAATCGATTCAAACCCCCATCCAAAAACCTGCGGTCTTTCTTTACATGCCGTGCCATCACGAGTGTGTCTCAAGCCCTTTAACGTGCCTAGCTTGAACTACCAGCACAACTGATCTGTACGCAAGACTGTTCAAGCAACATCTGAAAAATCTTGGTCTACAAACTGTACTTGCGGTTTAGAAAAAGCACCACAGGCAGATGATTGCAAAGGCAAATCTGGGGCGCACAGCTCGAAAGCATCTCATCTGATGGCCACTTCGAAATAGAACGATTCAATTTGAGAAAAATCTTCCGTTCTGAATGGTGCCCCGACTGTAACTTGATCAAAGCAGAGTCAGAGTCAGCTTTCAAAGATCAGCCCAGACTGAGGATTCCTTCTAAGGAGGTCTCAAGGAAAGTTCGTATTGTGCACTCATCCATTCGAACCCTTGATGAACAACACAAGTTTACTGAATTACCCTGACCTCCTCAGGTTGGAGAGCCTCTCACTATTTGCTAGTGGTACTTCACTGTAAACATATCAATTTGGATGCTGGGAAGGATTCCAAACCTTTGCAGACCTCTAGAAAATACTGCTTGAGAAATCTTACGCCACGAGTGGGTTCGAACTGTATTGCTTCGAGGCCACCTCCCCCGTTTCGAAGTCATCCTCTTCCACAGCAGCCACCTTGCTCACTGGCTTGGTCATGTGACTGCCCTCCATCGCCATCGCGTTTGTCGATCACCAATTACGTGACAGTTTCTTGGGATCAGCTCGATCAGTGAAGGGGCGCCTTGCTCAATGCAGGCAGCGAGCTCGAGGCTAGAGCCGAACCGCGACAAGCAAGAAGCTGCACTAGGCGGCGGCACGGGCGGGCTGAGTGTGATCTGAGCCCTGCCTCTTTGCTGGCTCTTGTGGGCGATTTCAGTGTTGAGAGAGCGCGCAAGTTACAAGAAATCATGTGACGAGCTTTGAGAAGCTGACAGTCCTACAAATTTGCGTGCTGGAATGCAGCAACTTGCGAAGTATTTTTGAACGGGGCGGAAGCTGATCATACGTCGAGGGCAGAATCAATTTCGGCCTGGGCGGTGCTAACTGTTGCAGGTATTTCCTTTGATGATGAAATATATCCAGATATTATGCCGGCCCCTGGCAAGCTGGCAGTAATAGTTCCGAGTCGAGGAGTCCCAGCGTTCTGGTCGTGCGGGCGACATTTGCAAGCTGCTGTTGCTGCCGATATTTCCGTGATGTAGCTTCAAGCAGCACGATTCGATCAGCTACGTCTCCAGCTGACGAGCCCGGCCCATTGCTCAAACTGTTTCAAAGTCTAGTAGGCTGCCTAGCTAGGCAGCCCTTTGCCGCGCGTCATACTCTTGAGCGCCTATTATGACTTTTGCCGGTATGAAGCAGCGCCAGCAGTGCAATGGCTTGACTTTTTCCGTGCAGGCCCTGTGTACGTTCTAGGTGTAGTCTCCCGAGTGCTGAATCCTCCTGAAACTGGAATGTCGTACCTGCGAATCTAAGCTGGCACTTGCAACGATCGTGGAACTTCGTACAAAGGCGAAAAGATTCGAATCTCGGTAAGGAATCTTTCCTTTCGGTAGTTCCTTTCAGGCTGCTGCTTTCTGCAGGAACTGAGCCATACCGAAACGAGGTCCATAGAGGATACCGTCACTCTAGTTCGCCCCTTAAAAAGCTTCTCGGGCATATGCGGAAGTGTTCGGAACGCCGAGTACCCGGACATTTATGATGTCAGCTTTCGCGCTGCAGATGTACGGCCGAAATAATGGCCGCCTGCCCAATCATTGCATGCCGACTCCGACTGCTGGGAGGCGCAGCCAACCGTAATGAGCGTCCGACCGGACGTGGGCGTGACGTTGAGCGGCCGTTAGCAAGGCGAATATTGAACTTTCGCTGTTAGGTTGACAGAATTCGATCTTCTCTTGGCATTCCTCTCGTGCCCACTGAAGCGGGCCGGGACTTCGAATTCTCAGGGCCAGGGACGTGCTACAGTCTTATGTAACTAGGCATGAAGGAACAAAGGAAGACTAGGAAGCTGCCGCGCGCGCGCATCGACTCCTGATCGTCGACTATTGTTGAGAGTGCCAATGCAAGTAGCACGTCTGCCTGGCAGGCCCAGCGCCAGTGTGGACACATATGCATAACGAGGAGTTATTTGGTGACTACTCCGTCTGAGCGGACGTCTCGTGCCTTCTCTATATCCTATTGTTGATGTTGGTTTCTAGGGGCCGGAGCATAGGAGCACGGCTCCACGGCAGTTATCCGAATTGAACAAGTACAGTGCGACTGCGGAACTAGGTACACATGAAACTCGCTGCTGAACCTCGTACTGGACTTAACCGAAGGTTCGCAACTTCGTCAGTATAAGTGATTCCACCTCCAGATCAATTACTGCAAAATATGCAGAAGTTAATTGTTTTAAAAGTCCTCAGTGGACGTTCTGTGCATCACCGCCTAATGGGCGCCTAATACCGTCATACCGTATACCGAACGGACGAGACAAACTTTGGCCCCCGTCGTGCACTGAGCTGCTACGGCTGAGTTTTTCCTTACTTCTCCATTCGAGCGCCCTTCTCAGCCCTTCGAGTTTCTTGGCGGCACGAGAAAAATCGTTTTCATGCTCCGTTTTGTTGGCAGCAATGTCTTGGAGATAAGAAGACGACACTCCCTGCAGTCTACTCTTACTAGTACCTATATTTTTGCAGCTTTCGATCGAAAAACAGAACCTCGAGTCGGGCAACACGAGTCCGTATCTTTTTGAAGGGCCAAAGGGCCCGTTGAAGACCCCAAGCCATATCATTCGTAGTCACAGCGATTGTCATGGTGCCAGCACCTTTGTAAAGTCGCGCGGAAGTCCCAGAGTTTTCGGGTCGCTTATTACTTTTGAACATTAACATTATCCCTGCTGGTAGGGTAGAGCATTTTTCGGCGGCCCAAGTGTCTGGCAGTACTGAGAGAGACTAGCTCTACGACCACTGCCTTATCTTGTCTCTCGTGGGCTTCTTCTTGCTGCCTAGTCCTCAATCTATGCGCTTGCTTCTAAAGCCGCTGATAAACAGCTGGGTAGATCGGAGATCTCCTCTCTTTGTGGGCTTCTTTTCGGCGCAGCTGTTCGCGGGAAACTTGTCCATAATTTCCTACCGGGCGGCCAGGTTCCAGATTGGGTATTCTGATTTATTGTTAAGACTGTGGATGGCATATCTGTCTGACCATTCACGCTCGTTGGACCTTGAAGCGCCTAGCCAAGCACGCACGGGGTAAAGCAAAGTAAACTTGCCCCGTGAGCATTCGTAGAAGTCTCTCCGGAACACACGTCGCCCTAAAAGTAGCTCAGGCCTACAGTTGTAGTAATGATTACAGTCGAGCTACTGAGGTCTGGTGGTAATGAGATCTCTATCCGGATGAAACGACGTGCAGACATGGTCGACAAATTGCCATCAAGAGCTCCACTGAAAGGTTCAGGACAGCGCAGATCATTAAGATTGCACATCTCCTGCCACATTTGAATGCGGCGCAAGTAAGATCGCGATCGGCCCTTGTTTACAAAAGTTGTAGACAGCTATCTGATGTAAGTTTGCATACTCGCGAAGGGCACCCATTTTTGCCTTCGACGGACTTGCCACCGAATGAGCGGTGACCTTGCTTGGACAGTTTTCGAAAATCACGTGTGACCCGTACCGTAAGGCGTCGGATCGCCATCGAAGTTGTTTTGAACCTCTTTCGGACAGCCTACAGACAGCATATATACAGTGTCCGGAACATGTTTATATCATTCCCATCTGGACAACATATGCGTCCCTTTACAAAGAGTCCAATCTGTTGGTCCAAAACGTTTCCGCAACATGTGCGAAGATTCTCTTGCATTAAAGAAGACTAAAATTGCCCAACGCATGTGACTTCGTATCCATTCATCCATGTCTGCTAACTGTCCGAGATTTGTCTGTCCAAATCAGGTGGATTCTGGTTCAAGCTGTCAGATCATATATGAAACAATAGACGCGCAAGTCAACGTGCACCATACGGCATTAGCAAACGCGGTGCATCTCGGATCTGTACAAATAACCAGCTCCAGAATACATGCCCACGTATAACACTCCTAAGATTCTAACTCCAGAAGATGCGTAATTCGGATAAAGCATTGCACGCCTGCTCTTCCGCTTTTAGAATCCAGTGTAGCCGCTTCATATGTTCAAGGGATCGAAAATCAGTAGCCTAGCGCAACTTCTTGAAGGCCGGTAAGCGCTCACAATGGTCGCACGTCAATCGAACTCAGATCAGGCTCTTGTACACTCCGCCAAATTTTGGATTCCCAATGACAGCTCGGAGTCTGGCTTCAAAATTTCGAGACATGCACACTTGAGCACTGATTTCGGTGCTGGAAGACGCATTCGATTTGCGCCAGCTAAAAATTCAATGCATATAGCTCGATGTTGAACGCAAGGGACCACAGGATGTTGCTCGCGCTCCAATCATGGGCCTATGGTTCGAGGTACTGGAGCAGAAGACTGCTCAGATCTCAATTATCAGGAGGGAAAAATGGTGGAACTCTCTTCTGCACCCAGGCTTCAAAGAGCGCGTATTCAGATGCGTCTGAATTGACGTCACAGAGCGACTGCAACAACCAGGATACTGCTTGCCGGTCGCCTAGAATTACCCTGTAACGTTCTTGTCGCGGCGATGCTCGAGCGTCAAAATGTGCTTTACCGTCGCTGCGTGCTTACTCAGCTATTACGCCTTCTTCAATGAAACTTGGGGCGATTGAAGCAAGTGATAGACTCTCGAGAAGCTGATATCGGACTCGCGCACCCATTGCTGACCCAATATTGAATCTCTGCCAACACACTTTCACTCTTTTCATCTTTCACGGTAGTATACAATCATTTTCAACCCAAACCCAGCGACGGCACAACTGCCCGGTTTTCACCTTAGTGCAAGCGGCCACCATCACTTTTGAAGCAGTCTGATAAGCGAGCGCATATATTATTTGCGCCAGCTACGTTTTACTCAGGCAGGTACGTTTACACTGGATTGCGCGCGCGGCTCGCCGCGGCCCGCGCCCGGGCTCCTGGTTCGCCGGCGCGCTCTAGCGCGAGGTTTGAACTGAAACATCCGGACGTAGAGTAGTTTAGAGCACGTGTCAGAACTTAAAAGTTCAGGAGCATCGGACGGATATACATGAGGAGACTATCGATCGACGGTCCGAAGCTTGGCCATAGCTTGATGGCGCGCGCTGTATCCGAGTTTGATTTGGTCAGCCGGCTAAAACGAGTACAATTACCGTACACATGGTAGCTACAGCCTACGGCATGTACTTCCTTGAGCAAGATTCCGTGCACCATGGAATCTCAGACCGTCAGCTGAAACACCTCGGATTGCTTTGCGTACCGGAGGTCCTACCTGTGCGAACCTAGGTACGGTGTTACGGTAAATTAGAGTGTCTCCGATGATGCCATGATGTGTGCACATAATATTCTACAGGTTTTCCACTCTTCCTATGCACAGGTTCCTTATGGCAGGTTCTTTTCTCATATTCCTACTACATTTCTCATCACAAGATCTGTGTGGCAGCCCCCGCTGCAATCAAGAGATAATTGTTAGCGGGCTATCTGGCAGTCGCCTGATCATTCTCAACAAAGGCAGCGAGCGGCTGAGGGAACGTCTGAGCGCCTTAGCGTTGGAGTCATCGCACAGCATTGTCTGCAGGGCGACTGCTGGAGTCTGGATCATTCTGGATCGATCAGCACTGTGGGAGTCTGAGCGAGCCTAAAAGCATTGAACCTTGTCATCCTGTCAGCGAAGTAAACTCAATCTTGCACTTAGCAGCTTTCTGAGAATCGATAAGGAAATGCTGACATTACTCTGCCTTGCGCATGTAATGTGCTGAATCTGCTGAATGTCACCATTCGCCTAAGGACAAGTTTCAGCTTCTGTGAAGAAGAGTTTAAACTTGCACTGGCCAGATCTAACAGAAAGCGTAGATATGCAATTGTAAGCCTAATAGGTCACGCTGCACGGAGCTCTACACTAGCACCTGCAAATCACAAGCTGCATCCACTGTTAGAGAATCAGCGGCCTCAGCTTGAATTCAATTGCAATGCTGCGGTAGCACTTGTTTGTGGGGGGAGGGTGAAGCTCCGCTAGCAGCATGGGGCTAGAAAGAGTACCCTCCCGGAACAACGGGTTTCTGTCTCCGCCCCGCTCTAGATCCTGCCCGGCCGCGGGGAAGGGCATGAACCCGCTGACTGTGGCAGCATGTGTCATGGCAGTCTCTCTGGCTGCGCTCCTGTTTCTGAACCTTGAGGCGCGGTTCTCGACTTTGCCGCCAGCTGGGGGCTGGAAGGAGTCTGAGGGGACAACTGAGGGGGGCATGTTCACACTGGACCAGGTAAGGAACTGAATGATAACATTACTTTATAGAAAATGTTGCGAGCTTCCAGATATGATCAGTGAGGGTTGACAGTGCCAATGCTGAGCTTTAATGTCCCGAGTTTGTTAATGCTGCATCCAACAAAGCTCCCTCAAAAGAAAGGTCAGGTGTTTTGTTGGGTTCAAAGCTCCCATAAGCGGCAACCCTGGAGAGTTACGCTCTGCTCGAGTCCAAAGCTGGTTTGAGCGGAAATGAAGAAAAGGTTTGAGCGTCGCGAGAGTTGTCTGCTGACAATCTTTGAAGCGCGTTGGGGAACTTTTGAAGTTAAGGGCCGACCTGAGCTCGGTCAATGCAACTCCAATACTGATGCCAAAAATTTGGTGATTAACGCGGGTCAACAAACCAGCTGTTGCACCACCATACAATGCAGGCCTCTAAAACCGATATGCAAGTTGATGTGCCAAGTGAACTCTGGAACCCAGTTGATGTGGCAAACCCAGGATCAGGTCAGGTCTTGTTCCAGCTGTCAGCTAGCCTTTTGCACCCAGCTTAGAACCTTTCAAACGGGCACCATGGCACTGTACCGTTAACTGTATCTGGTTTAGCCAGACCATGTTCTCAAACCACTTTTTTTTTATCCCGTTCAGGTCCAGTTGCTTCTCGCCGCCACCAACTCCTCTTACGAGATCGCTTCCACAGACGGCGCCAAAATGCTCTTCAGCGCGGAACAAGTCGCGGCTCTAGTTACCCTCCAAGCCCCACAAAACGTCACCGAAACAGACCCCTTAGCCCGCCAGCTGTCGCCGGCAGAAACTGACCTTCCCGCTCGCCAGCTGTCCCCGGCAGAAGACGAGGGGACCGCTGAGACGGAAACAGGGCCCAGTCAGAAAGAGCAGGAGCTAGAGGAGAAAGTGAGGGCCTTGTTGGCGGCGTGGGCGGAAGCCTACAACGTTGATGACGTGTACAGTGATGACGTGGCGGGATTGGGGGAGGCGGTACCAAGGACGCCGCATCTGGACGATTGCAAGGACTTGGACAGTGTGAATAGGTGAGAGCTGGGGTGACCACTTTTCTTCTCGATGTTCGGTTTCTTTGAATTGTTTGCGAAGTTGGAGAAGAAGCAGACTAGCAAGCCTGCAAATCAGTGGGAATACTAACGAGTGAGGTTACCTTTCGAAAAAAATGAAAAGTTCCGGCATGACCTTCAGGGCAAAATTGTTGACCAAACACTTAAGCCCATTGAGTACAAGACAGGCGTCGTGACCATAAGTCTCCTCATCAGAGTATCAAGAGTTGTCTCCTCCTCTGCACCAAACGTCCCAAAAGAGTACAGACACTCCGTGTCATTGAGTATGCCAGACCTGCAGAAAAGTCCATAACGTCAAATGTCGCACTAATTCGGCATCACTGCCTTGAGCATAGCTGATACCGAAAGGGGTCAAGTTGCATTACGGAGTAGCGCAATGCGCTGCGCACATGGGAGATCAAGAGATGTACTGCTAAGGAAGCCGGTTCAGATCATTCAGGACTCTCTCGCTGTCCTCCAGACAAACGGGAGACAAACAAAAGCTGGTCGTGTTTCCGGTAGGAGACAGGTGTTGCGAAGACCGAGCTCCTTGCTGGGACTGCTTAACCAGGTCAAGCAGTATTGATACTTCCAACTTGAAACTTGAGGTTGGAAGTTTCTGGACGCCAACTTCCGGATAGAACGGCTTTGCACAATACTGGACACATGTCTCTGCCTCTCTTCAGGCTCTCCATCCAACGGTAACCGTGTGATCTTCCATCGCAAAAGCTCTACACATGTAGCTCGCGGTACACATCTCAACCTTCTTTCCCTTCGTTTTTTTCAGGTTCAACGACAGGCGACAAGCAGACGGCTCCCCGCCCCTTTGGTCGCAGTGGTCGGGCGAGATCGATTTCCGGATGAACCGCTTGACTGACCCGGAAAGCACGGGCTGGGTTGATCGCACCGATGAGCTTATTGGGCTGCGCCCCACCATTTCGGGGCCCTTTCCCCCCTGGGTAAGAACCTCACCGGCCGCTTTTGGCGGGCAGTTTGGAGACGAGATTCTCACTAGGAGTGCTCGGTTGCCACTTCAGAGTGATCGTGTGATACATACAGCCTAGAATTGACGGACGAAGGGTGCTCGAGTCAATCCGAATGAAGAGCTCAATTTTGCTGCGTCCAACCATTTCGGGGCCGTTTCCCCCCTGGGTAAGAATCTCACCGGCCACTTTTGGCAGGCGATTCCGTCATTCGGTGCCCGGTTGTCAGTTTAGAGTGGTAGGTTGCTTGATAGACCTCAAGATTGACGGACAAAGGGTGAGTGTATCGAAGTGGAGAGCGCATAATCGCGTCCAACGATTTCGGGGCGGTTTTCCCCCTGGATAAGATCTTCACCAGGCACAGCTAAGCAGTTCGTGGCGTTTCTGGGCGGAGTTTGAGGCGACGTTAAGACAATTTGTTCAAGATGTGTGAGATGCCCGTTCTTCGGTTTCAAACAATAGCACAAAGTTGGTCACATTCATACAGCTTTGGTTTGACGAACAATTGCCGAGTGGATTCCTCATAACGAGGAGCTTATTGGGTTCCCACCACTTCGAGACCCTTTCTTCCTTGAGTAAGTACGAAACCGGGAACTTTTAGCAAGCAGTCCTGAGTCGGTTTCTTCACCCGGTGAACTTTCCCTGATGAACGTCTTTCACGCGATAGCGCGGTGATCGTGTCAGATAGAGCTCAGGTTTGAGGAACAAACGTTGGCTGGCCTGTCGAGGACGAAAAAGAGCTAGCTTATTGCGGGTAAATGCCCCATCACCTGAAGGAATCACACGTAATCTAACGGGTTGCGAGTGGCTAGGATTGACGCAACCTAAACCCGCCTACGGGATCTTCGCGGGTTGCGGGCGCGGATGAGGACACCATGGTTTTGACGCGGCGCGTGCAACGAGACCTGTGGATGCACCAGCAACGCTAAAGCTAAAATCGATAAGTGCTTGAGCTCTAGTATGCTGAACCCATGAACCCAAAACAAACCCACGTGAACCGACTTTAACCACAAAACAAACCCCGCAGATTGTGGGCGCGGACGAGGACAACATGGTGCTAACGCGGCGCGTGCAACGAGACCTGTGGATGCACCAGCACCCGCGGGACTGCAACGACCCGAACCTCAGGTAAGTAAACCGCAAATCATGCAAGTGGCTTTGGAACAGCACAATTCTCGTCTTTACGTTTCATCTTTCGAGGTTAAATCACAAACGCTTGCGACTCCTTCCTTTTGACCATTTTCGCCAACTTTGACCCAAACTACATTCGACACCCTGTCCCGACTTGACCATTCTGCTGGAGACTAAAATTGCAGACTGGATTGCTTACGTGAAGGTTGAACGGCTGCGACAGGATTCCGGCCATCTCAAATCTCCGTGATCTGCCGGCAGGTTCTTTTACCTCAAGTTCTTCGACGCGGAAGAGTACCACTACGGAACCGGCGCGCAGATTCAAGCGGCGGAGGGCGTGTTTGGGAAGATGATTGCAGAGGGGCGCATCGTCGTGTTTGCGGACTATGACCGAGCGGACCACGACGGTTGCCGAGGTAAAGGTCCAGGCTTTCGTTCTGAGCTTTTCCAGACTTTTCAGGATTCAGGTTACAGTTCGGGTGTGAGGGGTATTCTTCATTCGGAAGTCAGGTTGGCGAGTGCAGAGGGGCGCATTGTTGTTGTCGCGAACTATGACCGAGCGGACCACGACGGTTGCCGAGGTGAGGGCCTAGAGTTCCAATCCCAATCATTGAAAAGTTTTGAGGATTCCAATCACAGTTCGGGTCTGAGGGTATTTCTTCATTCGGAAGTCAGGTTGGCGAGTGCAGAGGGGTGCATCGTCGAGTTTGCGGATTATGTCGGGCGGATCACGACGGGTGCCGGAGTGAAATTGCCGCTTTCCTTCAGGCTCTAAGCAGGTTTGCGGCCTAGCGAAGACAAAGCGTCTGCTCTTCGCGGCTTGCTTAGCAATCGCTTAGCGAGAGATATTGCACGAATGTGCGCCCTCTCAGATTCAAAGCAGCCCTGATCGGTCAATGACACCAGTTAATACCACGATGATGAAACTCACACTCTGCAATGGTCGCTCTTGACTCAATGAAGCGCTTTCTGTGAGAGGATCATGAACGCCTATTAAATAGCAGCTCGCACAAAGCTCGGTTTCCCGCTTATCATCACGTTTTGAGGCTTAAGTGAGTGGCGAAGGTTTATCAGAATTGTCCTTTCAAGCTCTTGTTTCGGCAGACAATTCGCTGCTGACTTTGATCGCACCATGCCTTGTTTTTTCGTTCCGACAGGCGACGACCGGAACCGTTGGTCGTGCTACTTCGCACCTGAGACGAGCGACGAGTGCCGGACACGTGCCGCGCAGCTATACGCGGATCCCGAGGCGCGGCAAAATAAGGTCATCACCGACCTAACGGACCACCCGCCGCACTTCTGGTTTGTCACGGACGACATCCCAAAGTGAGTTCCGCCGGACGTTCCGTTCCGTTGATTCCGCTCTTGTTCCTCTATTTTTACCCCAGCAGTCCGTTCCGTCACTATTTCGCCTCTCTTTCCGTCCGCATGAAACTGTCGTACCTAGTACGGACCACCCGCCGCACTTCTGGTTTGTGACGGACGAACTTCCAACGTGAGTTCCGCCAAAACATTCCGTTCCGTTGGTTCCGTCACTTGTTTTGAAGCTTGACGGACCACCCGCCGCATTCTAAGTTCGTGACGGACAACATTTCAATTTATCGTTCCGTTGGCTCCGCTCTCTCTCTTCGTCCATTTGAATTTTCCGAGGAACGATGGACAACCCGCCGCACTTCTGCTTCCTACGGATGCAATCCCGACATGAGCCCCGCAAGCCGTCCAGTTCTGTTCGTTCCGCTCTATCCCTTTGCGTGTCCGCGAAAACAGCACGACGGACCACCCACCGCACTTTACTACATGATAGTAATGCTTACGCATATGTTCCGCTAGAAATACCGCTCGGTTCATTCATTTCCACCTGCGTACGGCTGATTTGAACCCCGACAAACCAGAGAGTGCGCCATCGTTCCTCCGCTGGATGGGTCGTCCCGTGTTCCGTTCCGTTTTCGTCTTTGCGTTCGTTTTGAAGGTCGGGGTTTGCGCAATGTGACGGGTGCAGGTTTTGAGAATATTTCCTGGTTATCCCAGGCGTTAACGACAGAGATTGCGACGATTTGCTGACGACGACGGGGAAAGAACATCGGCTGTGATACTGGAAATCCAGAATGGCTGACGCAAACTGACGTGTACAGGATGTGGGGAAAGCCCTGCGTAAATCAGGCGCCGGCGATCGAGATCGGTGCGAGTTTCTGACGATGACCAGGGAAGAATACCAGCGTTCTGACGGCTCGTATTCTATCATCAGATCTTTCTGACGTTCAAATGACGTCATCATGCAGGATGTGGGGCAAGCCCTGGTTGTCCCAGGCGCCCACAATTGAGATCGGTGACGGGTTGCCGACGATGAAAGCACCGGCTTTGATGTCGTGAAGGGCTGACGCAATTTCACGTGTGCAGGATTTGGGGAAAGCCCTGGCTATCCCAGGTGCCGACGATCGAGATTGGTGACGCGTTGCTGACGATGACCGGGGAAGAGCACCGGCGGTGGTGGCGGAGCCAGGCGACCCGATACCTCATGCGGTACCCCAGCCAGTACCTCTGCCGGCTTATGAACCGGGAGCGGCAGCGAATGTTCGGATACGAGGAGGCTAAGGTGGGCCTCTTTTGATTCTGTTAACGTCACTCTCCTCTGGCTTTCTTCTGAGTAACTTCGGCATGTATAAAAAGGTTTGAGATTGCCGGTTCGAGGAGCGACATGTCCTAGACCCCTTTTCTCCGACAGCTCCGAGCTCCGCGGAACGAGACTAAGAGTAGTTGCGAGTCGCTTTCTTGAACTCCCCTTCGCCCCTTGGGCGCATTCCGCAGAACAATATATTGCGCCTCAGAGATCTGGCCCTATTGTCAGCATGCCTGTACCAGTTGCAGTGCTCGTTTCTCGATTTGGAATTCTCTGCCTGCGCTTCGAAAACGCCACCATCTTCACAAGATTCTGTCCAAACCCGCGGCTAACCTAGGTTCGCAAACGGCACGGATCCAACCTGGATTTAGATTCTTCAACGGCGACAAAATGTCCCCCGAAAGCACAAACCGGCTAAAGCGGACGACCTCCCACACGGCGACCCGATTCCCGGAACTCCACCTTTGGATTCGCTCGCGAAAGCCACGTGTTTGGAATGCGAGTGACGGGCAGTCGATACCTCTTGCCTGGATGTAGCAAGCCTTGGAGTAGACGCCCTCTTCGAAACCACGTGTCGCGTTTGTATTTCCATTTATTCCAGCCAAAACCGTAACCGCGTGCAGAGTATCATTTCAAGCGCGGGCGACGAGCCACCGCCCGCGGCCGCGCCAACCGCGCTCGCCGCCGCGGTATGGCCGCGCCGGCGGCCGTACTTGATGCGCCCGACGATCGCGCTTCACATACGACAAGGCGACAAGAAGAGCGCGGGCGAAATGGAGCTGTTCGGGTTGGAGGACTACATGAGCCTTGCGGAGAAAGTGCGGTTGCATCATCCTGACGTCACGAGCATCCTGCTGACGACCGAGATGGAGGTGAGAAGAGACAGAAAATCTCAGGCACTTTAACGGATCGATATTAAAGGTCCGCCTTACGAAGAGCTGCGGGAGCATCGTACGATTTTGAGAAGAGTCAGTCCCTTGGCTGCTGATGGCCACGGTTGTTTCGATCCTGGTTAGATTGAACCCTGATTGTAAACGAGCTGACCAGACTTCTTGCAAGATTCTATTCCAAATCCATGAGCTTCGGGCAGATGGAAAAGGAGCGGCCAGGCCAGAAACCGATCTATCTTTCAGTTTCAACGCTTCGCTTCACTCGCGAGAACGGTGTAGGGCACATAGAACGGCATTCTTGCTTCGTGATGGAACTGCTTTCTTCGGCTCGTTCATCCTGGATGTACCTCGACGAAACGCGGTGGTTCGAAACAGCAAGGACAGACCTAGATCAAGAACCCTCTTTGTAGGTTTTTGAAAGTGTTCCGTTTGCCCCAGGAGGTTGAATGATGTGGGCTCTCAAACCCCCGGTATCATTCATTGCACGAGCCAGAACCTAAGGCTGAAGCGAAGCGGGACATTCCGTTCGCTCCGGCGGAACTAGATTCCGAAACCCTCGCATCCCCCGCAGGACATCGTTGCGCAAGCCCAGACGTACGCGCGCTGGCGCATGCTCTACACGGACGTGCCACGTCAGCAGGGGGAGGAGCCCATGTGGCACTACGAGAAGCGCATGGGGCGCGAGCTGAGCTCAGCAAACGCGTTCGTGAATTTAATGCTGTCCAGTGAGGCGAACTACTTCGTGCTCACGATGGGCTCCACGTGGAGCCTTCTGATTGATAACTTGCGGAGTACGAACGGGCGGTTGCGACGGGGGGTGCTCAGTGTGAATAGGGACCGGCGGTGGGACTGGAACGATGGCGTCACGGACGTGTGAGGAGACCCGTGGCTCCAAAGGGTCGGGCCTGCGTCGCGCCTACATGGGACGCAAGAAAGCCGGAAGCACAGAGATCAGCCAATCTGGAAATCACTCAAACGGCCGATGTACATTACATTGAGACACTAGCCGTAACTTTTGCTGCATGCTCGCTAGAATGCTTGGCGAATGCGTATAATTCTCACACAAGTTTTCTGCTTCGTCGTTCATGCGGGCCACAGTTTCGCGGCGCACCGTGCACCACCCATGAAGGAAACGCGGTCTTTTATCCGGCCGCTATAGTCAGGTTGCAAGAACAAGGACGACTCAGCCCATGAGCCCCCGAGATATTCTTTTGACAATTATGCAGACGCGACACTCCTGCAACGAGTCTCACCATCCCCAAAACGAAAACTAGGTTATTCTGAAAAGCGCGACCGCGCCGCGTCGGACTGCTTGTCGTAGTTGTCATCGTTCCCGCATTTTTTAATATGACGGCTGATCTATTCTCACTTTTCCCACTAATTCCAATGAACACATGTTTAGCTTGAGTTTTTTTGATTTTGAATGATCCAGTCACAAATGAAATCTAGTAGCTTCGTAATACTTAGTAATAATCTCTGACCGTCACGCGACAATTACTTCTACTGTGTCAATCTTGGCATAATCTATAAAGCAGCTCAATTGTACTAATCGCAACCCCGGGCCCTAATTGATGGCCCGACGTCCAGCAAGTGCTGCTTGACGGGTATAAGCTCGAAATGTTGGACGTACGTATACGAGTCATCTCAGCGGCTAAACTTACATTGAAGTTAGTGACTTAGCGCCGAATAATAAGCAAGTTGACTCAGTGACCTTTGCAATGATACATATAAACGTTCACATGTGTGTATAATTGGATCATTATAGTGGGACGGTCATGATCTACAGAGCCGTACGCGCACCTCATACTGTCAACTCGATCGCGAAACTTCCGAAATTCGACTTCTGTAACTTAATATTCATAACATAATTGCATGCATATCATAGCTTTTAAAAGAACACGACGGCCCAGCATTCAAAAGGAAAGTTCCACAGGTCGGAAGCGAAGCTCACCACTTTTATGCTATGTATAATTGCACAAGGATCAAAAGCTTACAGCAGTAGTCGCACTATACATCCAAAACGTTAACAAAAGCTCAACTTAGCAACTCAATTTCAACTCGGGACTCCTGCCTAAAAGTTGGCGGTAAAAGCTACTTAACGAAATTTACGGACACTCTAACCTTTGCTTGTCTCAGTGATAACATCTACTAAAAGTTTGATAGGGGCACTACTTCTCAAAAAGTCTCACCACAAAGCGGGCAATATTAATAGGCTCTCAGTCGTAACAGCGGGGAACATGCGCCATTCTAACTTAATTTCAACAAAGCATGCAGACATACTGTGAGAACTTCTCAACCGAACCAGCCGTGCTTCTTCTCCTCGTCGCGTTTCCCGTACTTCTCAACGCGTTCCTCATCGTCATTCTTCTCGTGGTGCTCGTACAGCGCAGTGCCCAGGCCTCCGACGAGCGCCGCTTCGGCGATGGTCTCCTCCGTCTTGTGGCGGCCGTAGTGCTCGGGGTCCTCCTTCTCCTCGTGACGCTCCCACTGCACAGGCGTAACTAACTTGAATTTACTGGATAAGAGTAGGGTTTGAAAGTAGGGTCTGATAGGAAAGGTCAAGAGCAGGGTATGCGAGCAGGGTTCAATATCACGGAGTGAGAGTAGAGTTGTTTATACTCTGCTCTGTGTCGAACTTCTTATCGTGAGGCTCCCAACGCGCACCAATAACTCACTTCGCGTCAATTGACGTTAGCGCTGTGAACTTTGGAGCTTCTGTTCTAATTCGCCCTTAAGTCGATCTCGTCGCGTCCCGAGGCACGGGGTGCACCTTGGCTGCGTGAAGCTCCCACAGTACGTAAGTCGATGAAGGTATCATGTTGGTTTCACTTCGTTTAGATGTGGTTCCAACTTCGCTCCATGCGTGAGTTCTGTCCTCCAACAACACGAATCGGCGAGGATACCGCTTCGGTGAACGATGAATAGGATGAACTTCTTCGGTCACCGATAGCGCCTCTGGCAAGCGCCCGAAGCTCACTTCTTTTCCAGATTCTCGTTGGTTCCGTAGAGGTTTCCTCAAAGAGAAATGGGAAAAAAAGATTGGCTGAAAACGAGGCCCACGAAGCCGCAACACATGAGCCTGCTCAAAAGCTAGTCTGCAAAGCCACAAAACAACGCGCCTTCTCAAAACCGATTTCACTATAACACCTCCTCAATGGCGCGCTGAGCTCTTACATCTTCTTCTTTCGAACCGATTTCCAAAATGGAATCTGGAAAGGTGAAGGTATGTTCGGAAACGTACATTTGGCCGGCCGCAAAAGCGCAACCCTGAAGTTGGCCCAAATATTATCAGCACCAGTGCAACAGCGCCTCCTGCCAGCGCGCCAAGCGCTCTGCATCTTGTCGTTCTCGTTGGCTTTTGCTGCATACGGTTTAATCCAAGAGAAAGCAGAGAAACAAAACCCGAACTAGCCGCACAGCCGCAAAATAAGAACCTGCTCGGAACCAATCGAGCCAGCGCAGCAGCGCATCGTGCCAGCGCCCGAGCTCGGGCCCCATATCTCTCCTCCTCAAACCTGATCGGAACCTCGCCATTGCAAGCAGTCAAAGAAACGAAGCGCGGACCAGCCACGAAATTGCAAACCTAGAGTCTTCTCAGAGATTACTCTCACCAGTGCAACAGCGCCTCCAGCCAGCGCACCAAGCTCCCCCATCTTCTCGATCTTGTTGTGGCGCTCCTTGTTCCTGGGGCTCGTCCTCCAGGTTCTCCAGGCGCTGCTCCTCCTTGTAGATCGCCTGAGTGCTGCCGTACGGTTTGTTGAACGTCTGGGTGTCGGTGTAGGCCTGGCCGGAGCGGGGGTCGTAGACTGTCTCGGACTGGTACGTGTTCATGCCTTCCGCCCGGTTGAATCCACCGACCACCTGCAAAAGACGCAAGGGTGTTAACCACTACTTCTATGGGTACCCCCGGCGCTGTTTCAAAGGATTGACGGTCTCAAACCGATACGTGGTCATGCCTTCTGCCCGGTACGTATTGAATCCACCGACCACCTGCAAAAGAGACAAAATGACTTCGGTGCCTAAGTTTCGGTGTGAGCCTGCCCGCAGCAGGGGTGGTAGACTGTCTCAGACTGGTACGTGTTCATTCTCCCGCCCGGTCGAATACGCCGACCACCTGCAGGAGGGAAGGTAGGGTACGTTGCATTGAGCGTCTGGGTCCAGGGTTCGACAACTGTCTGAGACTGGTACGAGTTGAGGCGTTCCGCTCAGTTGAACTCACCGACTACCTGCCATCGAGCAGAGAGCGTCTTACTATCAGATCAGGCCGGATAGGTGCCAGATTTGCAGACTGTCTATCTCAGACTGGTAAGTATTTTTGCTTCCGCACGGTTCAGCACACCGACCACCTGCGCACTGTACTTCTAAGTACCGGAGTAGGCCAATTAGGTGCGGGATTCGTCTGTTTCGTCGAAGGGTACGCTTTACATGCCCTCTGCCCGGTTGCGTCCGTCAATCACCTGCAGGAGAGAAGGCAGTGTTGAGCGTTCAGATGTGGAGTGTCTCGTACTAGGATTTGTCTATTCCTTCTGCTCGGTTGGACCCTCCGACCACTTGCAGGAGCAGAAAATGTTGGTTTTTTTGCATCTTGGGGTATGCCTGGCCGGTGCAGGAGTTGTGAACGCTGAGCGAAGAGGAAGGAGTCGGCGTCTCGATGGAAGCCGGCCGGTTTTTGGGATTGCACACGCTCTCAGAACGGGAGCCGGAATATACGGCCGACCTGCAAACTCCTGGAGCGTTTTTCGTCACCATCTATTGAGTTGTATGATAACTTTGTGGTCGAACGGTATCGGAGAAATGGCTATTCGTGCATTCTGCCAGGCGCGAACTGTCCACCACTCGCCTGGCAAGAGAGAAGGATTAAGTTAGATCAAGATCGAAAGGTCGATAGAACTCGACGGAGAGCGTGCGCTGCACTTGCACTCTATCATTCCAGGTCGATAAGCTTGCAGTGCTTAGCGAAGTGTCCCCTGATCAGTGGATCGTTCAAATCGTTTATGCAGAGAAATCTTTCAATCTGAGAATGGAGCGGATCGCTTCGGGGTCGTTCGATTTTCTGGTTGTGCAACTCAACTTATGCAGGCCAAGAAAGTGCCTAAAATAGAATCATTTTGAGCCTACTGCGCATCCTAGCTTCTCTTAATTGAAAAGCCATAGCATCATTCATTGGAAATAAAAAGGCCAGATGAATAACGGACAATTGCATGTCTGCTGCAGATTGCGTTAGGGTGTTCTCTTGTTCCAGATCCGACTTTCCAGGCAATAAAAGGCTGTTGAAAAGCAGACGGCTACAACTAACATGCCTACAAAAGTAATCAGTCCCTGGACAAAGGCTGCTGTGCTTTTTAGGTTTTTCCTCCAGAAACTTACTGAATGTTGCATAAACCTGGACCGGTGAAAGCTTCACAGACCAGACACAAGTCATCACTCCATGACTTCTTGGCCAAAGCCCTGGTCATGCAGTCCACTTTGTCACAGGAATTGTGAAATGGTGATGCCTCCTGAATCTCATACCTCTGTGTTCTGATAACCGCCGCCGTAGGGTTGAGGTGCTCCTCCCCCATATTGCTGAGGGGCTCCATAGCCGCCACCGTAGGGCTGGGGTGGTCCCCCTCCATAAGGGTTGGCACCAGAAGGGGGCGGTCCGCCATAGCCGCCAGGCTGGGGACCTCCATAACCACCGCCGCCATAACCTCCACCGCCGCCTGTACAGAGGCAGGCATATGTCTAGCTTTCATGCAACTGATCAGATAGTCAAAGGCTGGTGTTCATGTTCGAAATAATTGGGGGAAAAAAAGAGTGTGAATCAGGTACCATAGAATGTGTCTTCAGACCCAGGCACCTGCAATCATCACCAGGCGCTAGCAGTGGTATTGCAGAGTGACATTAAGCCCTCAACAAGAAAGCATCTGCCACAGGGAACACCTCGATTATGAAGAGGCTCTATCAATTGATAATCTGTGCATAACCTAGGGCCAGTCTGCAGGAAAATGACTGAGCCAGAAATGCAAGGGGGTTGATGAATGCGCAGCTCCTGAGCCAAGGGTTTTCTCCTTACTAAGTGATGATTAGCCAGCACAAATATGTTGTAGTCAAAATAGGAGAAGTATTCCATGGGAAATTCTCTTCGGGCCTAGATGAAGCAATTTATTTGAGAAAATCACATTCATTCACATCTTTTTTGGCCTGCATCGCATGATTCCAGGTATCCCCTGATGCATAGATAATGTCAAAGCAGCGAGCACTCAAAAAGTCTCCACCATACAAGTTTCACATCTTCCAGATCTGTGGACTGCCCCTTTCCTGAATGCTCAGTGGCAAATGCCTTGGAACAGAGCTTGGAAACGCTGAATTAAGGTAGAGTGACATGGTCAATTGAGCAGAGGACACAAAGAAGAGCCAAACTAAAGACCAGGAACCAGATCAAGGTTCTTATGATAGCTTTGATTTGACTTCTCAAATGGAACAACTCCCGATTCTCAAGTAGAAACTCCTGTGAAGAATCCCTAAAATGGTCTTAGTATGTTGATCAACGCTGAGTACGTCGTGAGCGTATGGCCTTTTATTTGTTTGAATTGGACAGGGGAGATAAACCCTTGAGAAGCTTGATTCGAATCGTGCTTGTATGGATGGCTGGATCCCTTTGATTCCAGGATACCAGGCTCAGCTTAAGGTCTGAATCAGCTGGTCTAGTCTTCACTCCAGAAATGGTTGGGGAGTGCCTCATTTGCAGAAGTTGGGAAAGAGGATCGCACTGAAGGTCTAATTTTAGCTTAGTTTTGTACAATGATCAACAGGCATCACAATTCGAGCCCTGATTAGATGCCGTGCTGCAATGACGATCCTCATCTGCCAACTCAGCCTTATAATCACTCTCACACTCGGCGGAAAATTTGATTTGGAATCCCACTGGAGACTTCATCATTTTGAGTTCTGGTCACCCAGTCGCTCATCTTTGACCAGATCATACTCTCTCAATTGTTCAAGTGTACTCGAAAGTGCAGATGTCTCAGGCTCACCATAGCGTTCACGCTCCTCTCTCTCGCGCTCCCTCTCACTCTCGTGCCTCTGGTGGTGGCCTCTTTCCTCCATGTTGTTGATGCCTGAAAGCTCAGTGGTTGTACCTTGTCCTGAAGAATTGGCAAAGGCGCTTCTCCTGCCTGTGGAACGAAGCTTGGATGTTGTGAGAACTGGGAATGGAGCTCTTCAAGAAGGCTTCGACCTTCTCAGCTCTCCGAAATTTTTTTAACAGGTGCCAGCTGGCAGTGGGGCTTCTGCTGCTAGTCGACTAGGTGCAGGGTGCAATGTGCATGCACTGCTGTCAAATTGACATTTTGTTGAAAAGTCAGTCGAGGCAGGTATTGCCCGGTCATAGCCAATCTGGTCATAGAGACAGCGGCAAGCGCTCCGAATTGCCACCATAAACGCACAACTCTGCCCGGTAGACGCTTCAAAACGGGAATAAATGCTAAGGAATCTTGGATGGGCATATGCAGAGCCGATTGGCAGAAAGAATGCAGCATCTCGATCCGTCGATGCTCTCGGCAATGCTGTGGACCGTCGATAAAATTGCTAGCCAAGTGCAGAGGGATTGCCCAACTTTGGACGTTTGTGTCGATCTAGTTGCTCCTTCTTCTGCCCTCCAGCTGCATGATGATGTCATCGCATTGACAAAGACAGCTCTGCAGGGCTGCAGCTCAAGCCAAGCTGTTGACAGAATCGAGCCAATGGCCGCCTAGCTCCATCTAGGAGCGAAAGCATTTCTTGCAGAAATTTCGAGGGGTTTTTGCGTCTAGCTGGAGAGCGAAAGCAGGCGGTTTGTAGGGCTTCAAGGATTTCAGTAATTAAAGCGCTGTGTGCCTTCTGTTAAAGATCTGGGCCAGGGAACCACCGGGGCAGCTGCAAAAGGGAGGGGCAAAGGGAACGGGGCAGCAAGCTCGTTCTTGCAATCCGCAGGTTGGTCAGAAGCTGGCTTGTCTTCGGAATTGACTCTCATTTCAATGCATTTCTAAATGTGATCGGTCATTCCCTAGACATTCGTGCATTATGCGATTGTCTGTCAAATTTTTCATAGTTGGTTCTGTTTCTGGGCATCCCGCTGGTTGTTAGCCTTTTGCGATGTAAAACCGCGTGAGTTACTGCCATATCTGTTCCACGGAGATCAGATGAGCAAATTGGCAACCATCTAGCTTTCTGCGTCGAAGGTCAGCGTGTGTCTCTTGTCCAAGCTGCTTGACATCTGATTATGTATGATGCATCTGCTGAGTTCGCTATGAGCGAAGCCTCTTCTGATCCATGTATGTTCAAATTTTCGTCTCAACGTCCGTTGATTAGAGTAGAAGCGTGGCACGATTGGTTGCATTCGTCACAACTACTTTCATCGCTGCATTCCTAGTTGTATATCAGGTTCACAGAGCATTGAGGTGGCGTCGAAGGATTGTCTTTTCAGCAGCGGTGTTTTAGGAATCCTAGAAGGGGAACCTCGTGGCAGCATTCGCTGCGTTAGCTTTCCCTGCACATTGCACCACTCAGGGAACCCTCGCTTTCTGAGTGATCAGACGTCTTATAGATGAGGTGCAACTGAGCTTTGGTTCAAGAGACGCCTTCCTACCATATGATAATCCACCTCTATTTCACGAACTTTGAAACCCGTGTCCTGAATATGTGGATCCGCTTCCCTTAGAAGACAAGCTGTTGTGACAGCTGCCCTGCTGAGCTGAAGTCAATGGAGTTCTGTACTTCTGAAAGGTGTTGACCAAACAGTGCCGCTGAACTGCAGACATTAGCCCTTGCACTGATTGCTTGCCTTTCGTGTGGTATCCTTTTTCAAATCACAGAGATGATCCCACATCTTAGGGATCAAGTGATTGAGATTTGGCTGCCCCTTTGCAGAATCCAACACACGGTCTCCTTTTAGGTACATCTGACTGGTCCCAATGCTATTTTAATGTTGCAACTGATAGTGGAAGCATTTAGATTTGAACATCAACATCACCCTCGCCAGATGTTTATGTTAAGAACAAAACTTTTTGAGTAAGCGTTGCTGGTAGAACTCTGATCACACTTGCAGCAAATTTGTTGGGTAAAAGGGCAAAATGAGACTTGAAATATCAAATCGAAGACCGCTGCAATCATCCTTTTTGACTCCTTTTCCACACGCCAGCTTTCGTGGGTTCTATCTTTGTCATTCGGACACGGAGTCCGAAGTTGTCTGCCGGTTGAGTGGCACCAACGAGCCTCCAGCGTTCTTTTCAATCGTCTATGCCCTTGAGATAGGTAAGTACTGGGCTCATTCAGGCGCATTGATGAGGTAGAAGCATCTGCCAGGCGCAGTTCAATCAGATCTTATTGAGGTGTGTCAACAAATGCATTTTTAGATCTTGACTGCGCAATTTCATGCCCCTGGTGAAAAAGAAATGCTGGTGACCAGTTTGCGTGTTCAGCGACGTTGCTGTGCTGTCCAGAGTCTTCATGATTGGCAATGATGTCATACTTGATTGGGTTGGATAGGCCCAGAGAAGTGTAAGTCCAACCGCTGATGCCAATTGTGTTTCTCGTCCTACAACTTCACTTGAAAAAATGGTAGGTTGATCAGGTCCTTTTGGTTATGCCCATTCTTTGACGATCTTGCTCTAAGGGGATCTTAGGATTTGAATGGGAGCTGTGGCAGACTCGATGACCCAGTTTGAAGCAGTACTTCGTTCTGGCAATGAAGAGCTTGAAGCGAGCAAAGAGCGCAAGACGTGTGTTGGGCATTCAGATGCCACCAAGATTTTCGATAGTACCGGTAACTCCTCGAATATAGCAACAAAGGTCTAGCGCCGATCATGACGATGATCTGATTTTCCAACGAAGATACCTGACTTGGCCATAATTTTCCCTTCAGTTGTCCTTCGCTTGTTGATAGTCCAAAATGCACACCTTTTTCAAAGGTTTTAATGGGGCGATTGGCTGCCTCACATGTTTCCTTCTTGGCCAATGGATATAAGGAGTCTTTCCATTTGTTCATGTGATGTGACTCGAACCTGCTTCCGGCCCATGCATTCTCCTGCTTGTTTGAACATTCTTCTGCGAAATGCGATACGTATGATCAAACAAGCTGGGGCCATTAAGCCCAGGTCATCTTCAACGCCCTATAATGGTCCCCCAGTAAAATTCAGCTGCTCTCCGAAGGGTTGCAAGTGTAAATGAGGTACAAGAAGGACGCCTTTCGGTTCAGCAGACCAGGTGGCTCGAAATAGTACCTCGTTCTGGCAATGACGACTAGAAGCGAGCAACGAGCTCACCTCTTGTTAGTGAGCGTTTGTATGCCACCATGGTTTCGCAATCCTACCGGAAGTCCTTGGATGTAGCAACAAAAAATTGGCGCCAGTCACCACAACACTTCAGAACTCAGAAAAGATGCCAAGTAGGCTCCGACTTTCCTTTGAGTTGGCCTCTATATGTCAACTATCAAATTGCAAGATTTCAAGGGTCTGATTGAGGCGGTCAGCTTTCATGAACTGCTCGAATTTCCTGGGCTTGATTATTTCAGCAAACTTTCTTTTGTTCCCTTATGTAATCTGATCTGAACCCGATTCTCCCTGGACATTTCTTTCTCATACTTGAACTTTCAGCAAAGCCCATGATTAGCTCCAGCTGAGCGCATGCAGCCCAGAGCCAGTTCCGTCCCTCTATGAAGGTCTTGCAGACCTAGTTCCGCCGTCCAAAGCGCCTGTCAATATCTGCTGCGACAGACTCCTCAGTTATGGGGAGCAATTGGTTGTCTTTTCGTTGGTGCCGTTTAAAAACGGCTCTCCAACTCAGCATTTTGCGGTTTTCGTTTCGCCGTTCGTTCCTGTTAAGTTTTGTGGCCTCTTCACATGTCCCTACTTCCTCTTGAGATTCTCATACAGTGTCGCGCTTATGTTGGTGATGGCTTCCCAGCAGCTTTCACGGTATTGAGCACTGCGAACGCACACCGGATGAGGAAGCGTCGATCTGTCAAAGCGCTACAGCTTTGACACTTGATAACAACGATAAGTTTCTATTGATAACAACGATAAGTTTCTGATCGGCTGAGTGCATTATCCCTGCAGGCTGTGAAGAAGTTCGATCGACCAAGCCGTTCCGTCGGGATTCCGTTGGTGTTCCGTTGGGGTTCCGTCTGCTGATCTGGGCAGTGTCCTTCCGTTCCTGTTGGTGGTTTCGAAGGGCCGGGAACAAGCTGGAAGGTAGGCCATACTGTCATTTGTCGCTAACAAACTCGCTACCGAGTGACATCCTGACGCCAAAGAGACCGCTCAGAGAGGAAACGAAATAGTCGATTCAAGGACCGACATCGTTCACAGGATCTGCACTCATAGGCTCCTTGGACGATCATGGCAAGGCAAATTCGTAGTGGAACCGGTTCGTCCCTTTTTCCTTCTGCTTTAACAGTCTCTGTTGCGTATGATCTGGTTTTCAAAAGTGTCCCGATGGACTTCTCAGTCCTGCATAATCGATTTGAGACAACTTGCTTACTGAAGCAACGACAGTGCATAACCTGGTACACAGCGCCCAATCCTTGATTGGGCGTTTTCTGAGGCCACACCAGCGCGGTGTGACCAGTGAACCACATAAACGATTTGCGGGAGGTCTGCTACGATGCTGACAAGCATGGTTTTGTCTTACCGATCGCATCAGGATTGCTGCATGCATGCTGCTCTCGTTTGTGGCATTGAAAGTCCTCTTTGAGTGCTGCAGACACGCTTGGGCGCTCCTGCCATGTATCAAGTCGTGTTGAAGGCGGACTTTTATTGAATTCTTGTCCTTGGCTTTGATGACGTGTTGTTTTTGAGAAGTTCTTTGAGGCCTTAATCGACCGGTCGGAACAGGCAAAGACGAGCATTTCCCCTGGCCAATGGGGCCATCTGAGAGTATCATGGTCCGATGCCAAATGTTCATGGCAGCATGCCGAGTGTCCCGCTCTGTGGACGTTGCGACCGCATCGACTCTGATTCTGCCGGCATCTCGGAGCAATTTTCAAACAAACAATCAGCGTTCCGGTCGTACTTGAACGTTTGAATGTGAGATCCGAGGCAAGGACAACGGGCGTTGAGTTTAAACGCTCAGAGTTGCTCGTCGCTTGGTATTGCGTCTTTGATGCCCTTATGTGAGTTCCTTACGAGAACGTCACGAATTGACAGAGCCAGTTTTTGCCACCGTCCGATAAGGAAAGGAGGCTTTAATACCACGATTCACAGCACCGTCTTTTCCGCTTTCTCTATAGGAAATTGCATACTTCTGAGACCTAGAAAAGTTCTTGGCCGAGTTTGGGCAGGATCGGGGGCCGACTCATTTGTCCAGCTTCGCAGCTTGACACATTGATTGCCCCGTCTTGCTCCTGAGGTCAACAAAGGGCCGTCTGTGCCTGTCGAGGATTCTGCAGTCGACGTTCTCGGACGACACGCCATTCCACTGAACTAAAACCCCCTTGCATCTTTCGGGGGTTCAAAAAGCGACCTGTGCAGTGCTCTTAGAAGCGCGGCTAACATTAAACAGTTGGGCTTTCTGCCAGAATTGCCAATCCCAAACCTTTTGTTTCCCTCCTCCTCCTATCGTTCTTCGGTTCCTTTTGAGAACCAGGTTGTTCTGTGTGAATTACGAGTCTGGTTGGGCTCTGGGGCAGCTTGTTTTCCGTTTGCTTGGGTCTTCAGGGGTGCTTCCGCACCTCGTTTTATGATTCCTCTTTCCGTGATTTCCCTATGAAAACAGCAGTGCTTTTGTATCTCCGAACACAACCAACGAGATCACTGGCGATTGAAGTCCGACAACAAAGACTATCTTGCTGCTTATTTCGTCTGGTGGACTCGTCCCATCCTCTGGGTCGTTCTTATTTGACTCGTCTTCTACTTGCCTTACTCTGAGCGTTGTGGGCATCATACACTTGATTCGTTTGCATCTGTTCCTCTGCGAAGTTGTCCGCAATGGAGGAAAATGCTCGAAGTAATCCTAGCAGGCAGTCTGCGCTGGTTGTTGCGCATCGTGCGCATTGCGTGGTGAATTGTCTTCTTTACCATCCCCTATCCTCCGTTCGTCAGGCCTGAAGAGATGCTGCGTCTGTTCACTCCGTTTGTCTCAGCTGCAATTGATTTCGCGCTCCTCTGATGTCGTCCAGCTCAAGCCAGCATGACGCTTTTGTCCGCGAAATGATTTGGGTCGTATCTCGAGACTCCGTTTCAGCTTTGCAAAGTCTACATAAGGCTTGCTTGGCACATCAGTAAGCTGATGCTATTTAGGCCCTGCCTAATGTGGCACCACAGGCCTACTCGACACAGGTTGGCTTCTGACTGGGGTTGGCTTATGTGATAGATAATCTCGTTTGATGTCCTGCTCCATGGATCCGTTGGCCTGCAAGCTTTAGATATCTTGGCGAGTGCAAGGCAGTGACGAGTTCAGAGTGGGCATATCAAATCCCATTGATGTGTTGAAGAAAGTCTAATGCCCCCTGGCAACTGGAATCACGGAAGAATCGGCTTTTGAATATCATCTACCCTGCCTACGAGTAGCTGGTTAAGCTCGTTGGTTTTTGCGAAGACGAGCCGACTTCGGGCACACGAAGCTCAAGAACCCCTTCACTCCTTAGCTCCGATGCCCTTCCTGCCCTTGCACTAACCCCTTCCTCGCTCGTGTCTTTGGTGTGACGGAGAAAAGCAAAATAAATGTGTGTTCTCGAGGCTTTCGTCAGTTTTCTGCACGCGCGATTGTATTGCAGATTGGCGACCTAGACTACTCTACACTTGCATCTTGGTAGTCCGTTGGCATTTGATGTCCTCCGTCATCCCCACGAGAAGTTTGCTCCAATCTAGTTATACAGTTTCTAAGTCCTGTTTCCAAAGTACCTTTCCATTCTGGGCACGTTTGCAATTGGTTGCTGAAACCATTTCGTCTGACATGAGAAATCAAATCATCATCCGTTGAACCGTTCCAGGGCCGTGCTGAACCCAATCTCGGTGCAAGGACCCCGTAGGGTCTTCTCTTGCAAGGAACGCTCTGAAGCCCTTCATCAAACGCACGATCTTTGCCAAGTGGACTCCATGTGTTTCTGATTAAGGGTTTTTAACGGAGTGGACTACATTAGTTCCTCTCTTGACCGGTTTGAGGCGACGATGCAACAAAAAGCCTGGGTGCGGAATGCCCAGCGTTGGTGTGATGGAGTTGAAGCCCTCAAGACCTCATTATAGGCTTAATCTTTGTCAATGGCTGAGGTGGATGCCACTTGCTTAAAGGTTGAAACCAAAACTTCGTCATCCGCTGAGGTGGGCGGCACACTGATGTCAATCATAACTTTCCCTTTGGTGATCCGAGGGGCGGCGATGGACGAAAGCTGGGTGCGTCAAGTCGATTCGTTCCTTTTGCAGGATGGACGAGGCGACTCTCTACAATTCCGTTCCGTTCTAGCCCCGCATCGGCTTCTCCATTGTGGAGAGTCAAGGTCTGCAACGAGGCGCAGTCCTCGAAGGCGAGACGCGTCCTTCGCCTTCAACTTTCAATTGCTTTTGCTGTCAATCGTTTTCAGAATAGCACTATATTCGTCAACAATAGATCTACGGGTTGTGCTGTCCGTTATTCCTCAATAAGGTCTCCATGCACGATTTTTCACATTGGTTTACTCATCTTGCAGACCCCTCTCTGAGTGTACCGGATGTTTCTTCGGTTGCAAAATTTCAAATGTTGGCTCGTTGTTTTGCATTTTCTTTTCATTCTCCGTTTCTGGTGGTCTGACGACCCGCTCCGGGGCGCTCCTCAAAAATTCTTAGCATTAATCCTGCAGTCCGCATCGAGTATCTAATCGGAAAGTGAAGAGCTTCCTGCATGTGCTTATGAGGAGCCTGTGCTGCGTTGAGATCGCAGAGCTTATCATTCGGCAGTCGAGGCCATCGTCAAGGCCATAGTCAGGGCACATCAAAACCTTATTTTAATGCAAATTAATTGAAGCGTCAATTCAAACAGGTCTGGCAGTAGTTCATCATTCGCATAGCCTTCTTTTCGGCCCGTTTGCTCGACCCGTCACTTTCCTCGCTTCGGAGCTCGCTGTTCGGCGCTTTGCATGCAAAGCTGGCGCCTTATGCTCGATTCGATCGGTGCTACCCATTGCGGCGGCTCGCTTCTTTCGCCAGCCTCAGTTCGGCCACACTAATTGTCCTGGTACGAATTATGTTTCTGCTGTTACCCTCGTAAATGTTGCGGCGCATGAGTACATGTTGCTTGGCACCGAGGTTACTGTGAAGTGCATGCGCTTAGCTTCAAGGCTGCCACAGGCTTTTGTCTTCTGACGTCCATACAGTCGCCACTTCTGCACTTATTACTCCCATTGGCCCTCTAGGTCACCGAAAGTTCTGCTTTGATCCGCTCCTTTCGAGAGCGCTTGGGTCCGTTGATCAACTCGCCTGAGATGGACCACTCCCTTGGAGGGAAGTATTGTTAAGAACATAAAGCTCAGTTAACTATGTCGATGGGCTGACTTGGGTTATTCAAACATCTCGAGTTGGGCGACGATGCTTGATCACTGTCGGAAGGGCACCTCCCAGTCATCATTGTCTCCTCAAGGCTGATGCCTCCGAAATAAAGCTTCAGGTATGCTGTGTCCATGATATATGTACAAACAGAGCTGCAACGGAGTTCAATCAAATGAAGAGGATCTCTGTGCAAATCGTCCGGGCCAAGTCCGTCATTCCGAGATCGAAGACCGAAATGCTGCTTCCTACTCGACGAATCCTGTATAAATCCGTCCAAGCAATTGTCTCCGACGTTTCTCGCATTTCTGTCTTCCAAGGGTATTTCTAGGCGTCCCTTTATCTCGCCTGTGTCCCCAAACTTGTTAACATTCCTCGCACCTCTTCACGGAAGTCTCCATGTCTTGGAAACAAACGAGCTCAAACATGGTCGCCGGCCTGTCATGTTGCGTTCAACCATGTTGGAGCCTTTCCCGGTCCGCCTTGCAGTTGCTTATTAGCCCTCTCCGTCCATCTCGATTGGTATTCTTGCACCTGCACTAGAGGCTTATACGGCTCAAAAGCGTTACTGACCCTCTTTCGTCATCCGTTTCGGCTCGCTACTTTCGTTTTGAGGTTCTCTTGGTTACGGCTTTCTCGAACCCAGTTGCTTGTCTCGAGGCTGCCAGTCTTGCTTAGTTTGCGTCTTTGACTTCGTGTGGGGACGTGATGAAGAGCTCACAATTGGGCCAGAAAAGCCGACAAATCTTCGTGCAAGCCTGATGCGCTCGTGACAATAGATATTCGTTCGCAAACGCAGCATTTGGAACTTCTTGAGACTAGGCCGCTGCCATATACCAGGTTTGCAACCTCCGCGCATGTATGCCATTCAAGCACTCCGAACATGACAGCTCCGCTGCGTCTAGCCCCTCGGTTTGGTGCTACTATCTTGCTAGTTCTGTTGCAGCGTACGTCAGCCGATTCTTGACGCTTCCAATCTCCGCTCGCTGGTGCTTATCTTTTTGTGCAAAAAGAGCCTTGTTGTAGCTGTTGACTAGAATCTCTTCAGCCCCTCTTTCCCTCTGCTATCGTTGGCCTGTAGCTAAACGTTTGATGGCTCCGGAGCCGACTTTGCTTTCCTGTCCTGATGCCCCGTCAATAAATCAGCTAGCACGCAATCTGTGTGTGTGGGGTCCGTCTCTCCAGCCTAAAATGTATGCGTCGCTGTAGTGGGCCGGACACGCCCATGAATCAGTTTGGTCCCCTCATGTCTCCTGCACTGATTATTCTACCCTGATCAGTTTGTCTGCACTCAAAAAGTGCAAGGGCGACGATGTGATAGAATGGGCCTCTAGAGGCCTAGAACGCTTCTTCAAGTCAATGCTCTGACGCCCTATGCGGCCTCTGCTTACATATGCACTTCAAACTGCTTGAAACCAGTGTGAAGAAAATGTTTCGTGGTTTTTCGAGTGCGTGTCCTCGTTTCTCGGTTTCTTTTTGCACAGGCAAACGAAGCGACTTGTACATAGTCCCTGCCGATTGGTTCCTTGCTTCCTTGCTGACCGACGAACGTAGTACTGGCTTTAAATAACAGTCTTTGGGCAAGCTGTGAGCTTGTACTTCGCGTATGGGTCTGTTTTGACTAGATAAAGGTAACCGAAGCGTCTGCCTTTGAAGGGGCGAGGACGACCGTAGGTGAGGGGACACCTTCATCTTGAGTTGGAGCTGTCGGATGCCCCCTTCTTGTTTCCATGTAAAACTCCTACCCCTGTGACAGGAGCCAAACATTGCCTCCGCGATCTGCTCCCCTGAGCGGTTCATGTCTCTCGGCAGACGGCGGCTCTCCTTTGTGCCTCGTTCGCTCACATCTTGCAGCCATTGTGCTGACGCATCTGTGGAGGCAACATTGTTCTGGTAGCGGACTTCGTGTTGTAACTTCTATTTCAACTAACTTGTCTACATTTGTAGTTAGCCCGATTGAGGTGGCGGCTCCATAGGGCCGGCTACCATTGGCGTCTTTGTCGCCTGTGGTCTTGAAACCTTTTTGATTGTGCTTTTCGGCGTGGGATAGGGTTGCCGCACTACAACTCGTAGAAGGTTTTGCCCTTGAGGCAAACAATGCCCTGCCTTTGCTATATAAAGCCGGTTGCAAAACCCTTCCTGGTTTTTGGTAGAGATTTTGCCGTGATGGAGGATGGATCCTAGTGCCGACTGAAAGAGGCGATGTGGAACATTCAAACGAGCGAGAGCAGCTTAGTGGCTTTTAGGTTTTGACGCCCATATCCACAGATGGTTCCACAAGGTCCCGGACTCCTTTGCTAACCGATCCATCCGTCCATAACAATCTATGTAGCTCGTTCAGCTTAGCTCGAATCTTTTTGCTGGTACCAGAAATAGATGCGGCACTGCCTAAATCAATCGCCGACTTCCGGAGTCACGTGTTTGATGTCCTACCATTGGTCGGAGGTTAAGATGCAACGGGATGGGCATATGGCCCAACCTCCCTCTTCTCTATGTGGCTGACGCCTTTGATCTGATGCGTTTGGCCATATTTCTTTTCTACTGTTGTAGCCTACGAGGATCCTGTCCTCTTGATTCACAATCTGCAGGTTTTCTTCATATTTTGTTCTGGTCATTTTTGTAGTTCAAGGCCAAGCAGTAGCTTGTCGCCTTCACAATCACAGATTGGTCTCAGTTCTCATCCAAAAAGTGCAGTGTGTGCCGGCTCTTGCTACCGACTTTCTGCATGTTTGCAAGGCACCAATGTTATCACGATTCCGACAGCCCGCTTTGCTGTACTGACCTCGAGCTTTGCCTGCAATCCCCATTACTCGAAGGGAACGACGAACCAGATTATTGGGCGCACCCCAATGAAAACGTTTCTCGTTTCGCCGGAGGCCCTGTAAAGTAAGAGACGGTATCGCGCGCATGCTAATGAGTTGCTGAATTCCACGCGTGTTGCAGTTCACAGAGAACAAGCTCGTCGATCCCCTCCGGCTTCAAATCCGGTTCTAGTTCCGTCCGTGTTCCCCGGTTCAAAGGCCGAGAACACCGACGCTTGGAAGGTACGGAATCCAAGCTTTGATTCCAGATGTTTGGGCTTGTGTGACGAGATCTGGCTTTAGTTTGCCGAGTCAAAGCCTTCTCTTAGATTGTTCAAAGAATTGTCTAATCTGCCCACCGGAGCTCTCTTCTCGAGTGTGTACGGAATTTTTTGAAAGAGCGCCGTCTCTGCTAGCTCGGCTTACTCTGAAGAGTCCCATCCCGGGTTTCGTTCCATCCTAAATGTCGTCGAGAAAAGCTGCCGAGTATACTCCCGTGTCGTAAGCTTCTGCAATCAAGTTTCCAATTGTTTTCCGGTTGTTCCAACCAGCCTCCAACCTTGAACGATGCTGGCTTGGCAGCATCCGCTTTTTTTTAGAGTGTGCAAAGCGACAACTTTGAACTTTCCAGTCCCCCCTTTCAAGATCTTACCCACCGTTTCGAGGTAGAGCTCTAGCAAGTGGTGCTTGGGGCGATGACGAGTCGAACTTGGGTTGGACAGACCCATGGGAGCTTAAATCTGTGGCTGCAGACGCCAATACTCTGTATCTTCTTAGCACCAGTCCAGCTAGTGCTCTGAGGCTTTTGCGTCGACATTTGCGAGAGCCGCCGCGATCGTCAATAAGCAATGATATGCGCGATTGGGAAGTTTCCAAAACTGTTACGCTTTGCACTCCTGATGCTATCTCCGGTTTCTGCGGATTGTAGATTGAAACCGTAGTCCTTTGCAGAGATTGCCTGAGATTCGAAGCACTACAGTCTGCTGTCTAGAACCAGTTTCTGATGTTTTTTCTAGTCTCGTCGTCTGGAGGCTTTTGTAACCCGACAGTGGCTTTGAAAGCCACAGCTCTACTTGCAATTCGAAGCCTTCCGCATCAGAGACAGGCCCAGGGGTTTGAACATCTTAATCAGCTACTGTTCATTGCTTCAACATATTCAGGCTCGGATCGCGCTTTGCTTCGTCCTCTCTCGGTCCTCGTCTGGACGGCCGTCACTTTAAAAAACTTAGATTAGAAAGCTTGTTTCTTGAGCATCTTTTCCAGAATGGATTTTCGGTTGGTGGCGCTTTGGTTATTTTTTCTTGGCATTGATGAGTCACAAGTGGACGTCGAACGCCCACTGTCTGTTGACGTCAAGTCTGACGCCGTCGATCGTTTTGCCAGCCCATGCTTGAAATGTGCTCCGAGGCTTTTTTATTCTGGAAAAATTAGAGCCACTTCCCTTGGACCACCTCCATTTACCATGCAATGTGCATGCAACGTTTTGGTTTTGGAGGCAACGTTATTGAAGGCCGGGGTGAGCACTTTGATTACTTCTCAATGCGTTTCTCTTCGCAATTGACTTTGAGTAATCGCTAATCGTTTGGACAGCTTTTGCTTGAGATCAGCTTCCAGGCTTGAGGCGTCGTAGAGAGAAGGCCACGCAACATTCGCTCCTCCCAGACTTACTTGTGTGTTGTTTTTGCCAAGCTTTATGCTCTTGAACACGACTTGTAGACTCATCCCACACACGAGATCCATTTACGGCTGGCCATATCCTTAATAGAGACTTTGTGCATGTGACAAAGGACAATACGCTTTTTCCACTATCTGTCACCTTGGATTCGTTGAATTGTTAAAGCAAAAGCGCTGTTGGCGCACCGGCTCAGCAAAAGCTGCCTGGTACATGCTTCAGGTCTCGCTTTGGACTGTTTTATTGAAGTATTTGTAAGCCTAGTGGTCTTGCAAGTCGTTTCCAGAGGTACAAAAGCATACTATGTCGTGGCTATGACGAAAAGAAGCTGGCTGGATTGGCCATTTGGGGACTTGCAGCTTAAGCCACCAATTGTTCGATATTCCGCTTGCTCAAAGTGACGATCTCAATGCGCCCGCTTTTCCTTTTTGAATTACTTTTGAGGCACTGTACGCGCTCGATACTCCGCCGGCCTTTATCCTCCATGAATTCTAAACGGTGCATTGGTGCGTTCATGATGCTTAAATTCTCAGTGTCGCCTGCCGCCTTTCATTCTAGAGGTGCTTCTCATTTCGACCACTTGCTGTTTCGTCGTTTGCCCAGGACTAAGGTCCCCCGCTTCAAATGGACGCGTTTTTGAGTCGGCCTTTTAATGTAGCATTTGCATGCTTGGCAATGAGGCTATTCTGCGTCCTTGCGTTCTCTACTCTCGCTACTTTGTTCTGGTCCGTCAAAGAGGGGACCATCAGATTTGCAATGTCGTACTTGGGCCGTCAAACCTTCCCGGCAACAATAGGTCAGCAGGGTTTGGGCGACGCCCACCCGCCGGTTGGTCTCTTTGATGCCAACAAACCCGGTGTTCGTACCTTACTCACGTTGGAACCATCTTGCTTGTCCATTTTCTTCGTGCTCCAAGCCCGGCGTCGATGAGTTGCAAATGGTTGAGCAAGATGCTCATCGGATTTTGCAAACACTTCTGAGCCGTTCGAGCTTGGTCAAGACCGTAGCAGTCGATTATGCACATTTTGACTGCCTGGCACTTTGCCAAAACCCGAAAAGCCACCGTGGCCGTAATCGGTTTCTCGAACGACCGTTCACCTGCTCTGCCCTTCTGTGGGGTTTGAGTATACGTCCACCGACTTTGCTGCAGCCATCATGGTCGGCATTTTTCCACGCTTCGGGGTAGTATCGGCGAATCCGATGTCCATCTAAGAAGTTCCGTATTCTTTCCCATAACTGGCATTCATCGTCTCAACGAATGTTTGCGGATCTCGAAGTGTTTGTTAGTTCGAGGTTGTGAATTTCGAAGGGCCACAAATGAGTCATTACGTTCGTCGTCTCCAAGGCTTGCCAGCCTAACCTTAAGTTATTTGCTCAACAATCAAGATCAAGCGAAGCGCACCCCAAGGAAAAGGTGCAACTTTGACGCTTGCATACCAGGGTCCGCCCCCGCAGAATCTTAGATCAATCCTGCCAGGTCTCTAGACTCCTTATCAGTTTTCCTCAAACAGCCCAACTGCAGATGTGTTCAAATGGCCGCTCCCTTCATTGCAGGTGCCTTTCATCTAAGTTGAGCAAGCTGTTCCTATCGCCCTTCCTCCTATTTGCCACCTCGAGACGTCATCTTCTTCGGCCTTGCGCAAACAGCGCAAACGTCCCGTTCCTGCCTGCCGGTAACATAAAAGGTCCTTCGGGAAAGTGACGGAGATCAGCAGCTAGCGAACCGCTTCTCTAGCAGGGAACCCGGGGCAGAAAATCGGGGTCGCTTTTGAAAAGGTGGGCTGAAGTGGAGGCTGCTCGGCCATTGACCAAAGTCCCAGTCCAGGGCGTCAAAGAAGCCAGGGCTGCTAAGCGATTGCCCAATCAGCTCAAGAACTTCCGCTCCAACTAAGCTGGTGTCGAACGCTCTCTCAAGCCCGGTCTCATTTTAGCCCGCGTCTCCCAAGGCGCGGCTCAGGACTCACAAGACAGCGCTTTAAGGTTCAGCGATTCAGGATTTGGGTATCAACTGGTTAGGCTAGACCCAGGGAGATCCCCCTCACCGGTTCATGCCTCCACCCGGCATCAGTAGCCGCGGCGCCTCCCCCCTTGCCCGACAGCACTCAATTCCAACCGGTGACCAGGCGGAACAACTAGATATGGACGGGAAACGGTCGCTGGAAAACTTGGTGTCGGCAACCGGGGGCCGAGGTGCGGGCGGCGGGGATAAGGCGGCCGCGGCGGCGCAAAGCTTCTACCAGCTTATGTCCGTGCTCCAGTGGTGGTTTTTCAACGTGGTGGTCGTGATCAGCAACAAGTACATCTTCCAGGTGCGTATACCGTCTGCTTATGGGGTCATTCGCTTCCTTCTTGGCTTGTAAATTGTAGTTAAGAACAACACTCTAGTAAATTTGCACCAGCTCTTAAGCTTGCGTCAGTGGTGGTTCTCTGGCTCGGCGGTGGTCAAGAGCAACAGTTTCATCTTTCCAGCACGTACTCCATTTGCCTATGTGTAGTAATGTTCACGTTTGAGGGAGATCAACTTTCTTTAGGAAATCTGCTATCTACTAGGCCTTAAACGTTCTGCCAATGTAATGACCAGATCAGCGCATAGGCGCTGTTCAGGTGCGTAGAGCGCAATCAGGCCTACTGAGCAGATTGATAATGGTTTCGTAAGTTTAAGAAGTCCTTCTCAAGGGCTGTTCGAGGATAAGTCTACCCTGTTTTAGATTTGGTGCGTTGCTTGTATACTGAGACTTCATTCTGCTCCTTCCGCAGATCTTCGGCTTCAAGTTCCCGCTCACGCTGACCACGATCCACTTCATCATGTCGGCCCTCGGGGCGTACCTCACCATCAAGGTAAGCGTTTGCTGACCATCGGTTACGGCGAAGGTCAGTGTTCCCTCATGGGCTCTGCAACCATCGGCATCCCCACAGAAATGTGCAGGCCTGTCGGTGTGCCTTGCAATCAAGGTGAGCGCTTGCGGATTATCGTAACTTGGGGCAACAACTCTCAGCGTGTGTGCTTTCATGTTACTGTGCAGGTGTTCAAGCTGAAGCCGGAGATCGTGGTCCAGTCGACGCGCGACAAGGTGGTGCGCATCATGCCCGTCGCGGCGCTGACGTGTCTCAACATCGTGCTCGGGAACGTGTCGCTGCGCTTCGTCCCCGTCTCCTTCATGCAGACCATCAAGTGCTTCACGCCTGCGACAACACGTGAGTCCCATTGTTCCCCCTTCGGTTTTCTTCTCTAAGGAAAAGCAGCTTCATTCCGTCATCCTTTGAAGGTCTGATTTAGTTTCTGCTGATTAAACCGATCCGCACCTTTTGCGCACGTTTTTTTGAGCCTCGGCTGGAGGCCGCCGGTTGTGCGGGGTATTTCCAAGTGTATTCGCCTTCGTCGGTGGTTGTGTCTCTCGTTGTAAGTGCTTGCTATATGTGCTTGTCTCCCGGGCCGTCCTCTTATTCAGGCACAGATTGAAGAGAGTTTTATTTCTGCAGTGAACATTCAGCCTTTTGTTCGGGCCTCGTATTGACGGCTTGAAGTCTGTCCGCTCATCCTCCTCCGTTCGACAACGGTCATCATCAGCAAGCCACTCGTTATTCACTTCCTGATTTATTGCAAGGATCCTCCGGCGACTACTCTAGACTTAGAACATTTAAAAGTGTGCTCTGCCGCGCATCTCTTCTAATCATGACCCCTGATCTGCACTTCTGTCTTTCCTCAGTAATTTGCAGATTGAATTTTCAGATAGCTCGACCCCGTTATATCTTTCTTCTTGAATTGGTCCTTACAGCGCCTGATGTGGTTTGCAACTACGACAGCCAGCTGTATTGAGTACATTTCGTTTGTGTCTGCCTTTCAACCTCCTCCTTTGCACGTACTTGCTTTCAACCATCTGCCAAACATTCCATTTGCAGTGATCCTTCAGCGCGCGGTGTGGGGCCGCAAATTCGACAGCCTCGTCTACTTGGCGCTCATTCCGATCGTGTTCGGCGTCGTGCTGACGACTGTCGCGGAGCTGAGCTTCAACTGGACCGGCTTCCTCACCGCCCTCGCCGCCTGCCTCACGACGTCGACGTCCAACATCATGGCGGAAGCGCTGCTGCAAGTGAGCAAAGCATCTGCTTTTCTGCTTGTTTATTGCCTTCCATTTTCCGGTCCGAGTATCGTCTCAGCGGAAGTCCGAGCGAACCGGATTCTTCGCCCTGGCCGCCTGCCTCACGACGTCGACGTCCAATATCATGGCGGAAGCGCTGCTGCAAGTAAGCAAAAGCACGTGCTTTTCTTTATGCCTAATGCCTTTGGTTCAGAGCTTCCTTCTCAGAGGCTCGATCAGCGGAGTTCCAAACGGACTGGAACCATTGCTGCAGTGGCCATATGACTTACGACGTCGACTTCCAACATCATGGCAGAAGCGCTGCTCCAGGAAAGCATTTCTTTCGTGGATTCTCTCTGCTATCGCCTTCGGTGCGGTATTCCGTTAGCAGAAACTTCAGCGGATTTCGGCGCGGACTGGCTTCCTCGCCGCCTGAGCCAGCAAATTCTGATGTCAGCTTCAGTTTCGCAGGGCAAGAACGCTTTCGAGTCCTTCAGCACGATCGGCTACATGACCCTTTACTCGACCACATTCTCATCCCCGTTTTCTTGGGTCGCAACACCAGAACCTCGTCGCTCCTAAATCGCAATTGCTGACGTCAGCTTCCGGAGCGCAACATCCTGCCGTCAGCTTCCCATCTGCAAAGCAAATGGGCGTTCGACTCCATCGAGCCCGGTGTACTAAATGGCCCCCTACTCGACCGCGCTCTTCGAAGATTCTTCCCTTGGTTTTCCTTCTGGAAAATCAGAACCCAAGTTTCTATGCAACCCAAAGTGCTGACGTTAGCTTCTTTTTCATAAACCCCACAGTGCTGACGTCAGCTTCGGTTCTGCAGGGCAAGTACGCGTTCGACAGCATCAACACGGTGTACTACATGGCCCCCTACTCGACCGCGCTGCTCATCCTCCCCGCGCTCTTCTACGAGGGCGCTGACGTCAGCGCCTGGGCGGCGGAGCAGGACAACATCGCGCTGCCGCTGACGGTGATCCTGGTCGGGGGATCCCTGGCGTTCTGCCTCAACTTCTCGCTCTTCTACGTCATCCAGGCCACGTCAGCGGTGACGTTCAACGTGGCGGGGAATCTCAAAGTGGCGTTGGCAATCATCATTTCGTGGATGATTTTCCGGAACCCGATGGGCTGGTTAAGCTGGGTGGGTTGTTTGGTGACGATTGTGGGCTGCACGTTTTACGGGTGGGTGCAGCAGAAGATCAAAGCCCAGAAGGCGCCGGCGCTTGCAGTGAGTGAGATGCAAGAGAAGCAGCCGTTGATGGGCAACAGTAAATAAGATGGGCGGCAATGGGTGCGGTTTCAACCATTTATTGAATAGTAGTGACCAGCTAGGTTATCATGGGCATGCGTGACCGCCCAGTACAGCGCACATAGCAAAGCTCGACATACTGGCCCGTTTTGAATGGGAGATGAGCTCTCAATCCCGAGATTGATCAAGTTTGATATTGGTACTCGAAAGATAACCGTCTACTTAGAGACACGGACCCGAGATAAACGGTTTCTGCGAAGCACATTTGCATGATGCAAAGCCGGGCGGCCTGCACATGTAAAAATGCGTCCTTACTGTCGGACCTGGGCTACACTCATGTATCAGTAAATCATCTCAAGTTTGTGGCTTTATCATCATTGCAAGCCAAGCTGAAGATATCAGCTCGTCTGATTATCGCGGGCGTCGGGCCCTCTAGCTCAGTGCCGCAGGCTGATTTGAAGTCCGATCATGGTGCATGGCTGCCGCGGTGAGGCCGCTCAGTGGTTACTAAGTTAGCGAGCCCCGGCCCAGGTTCCATATATAGTACGGTTCGTAACACAATTCCAACTTAAAGATTCGTCAATATTTTCAGAACGTATACTCCCATGATTCAATCTTGATTTATCGAAAAACTAAGAATGATACGTCCTGATGATCATAATGATATCTAGACGAAGTGTCAATTACGGTACGTGCACAGCCGGCCGCATCGTTGCAGGCGCGGCCCGGACGGTACGTGTGATAGGTCAATTAATTGAAATTCTTAACTTGCTGCAATGATCATATGGCATGCATATCGCGATCATGTCAACAACGTCGGATGACTAGCGATCGAACATGCATCGAATATGCCGCAACTTTCAATGTTTGCTATTGCATAAGGTTTAATTTAAGAAGTTGAGTTGCTGGCCGCGCCGCGCGGGCCGGCAGCTGTACGTTACGGTACCGCACTGGCAGCTGGCACTACCATTTTGTGCACATTGAATCAGTAAGTTGAACTTAGTATTTGCATCGAAGTTATATGCGATCAGTGATGCATCCCAGGTATCTTCATGCAAGTAAGCTCGCTATCTCTGATTCGAAGGTATTTCAGTAGTCACTGAAACTTGATAACCAACAACTCAACTTCAATGACTGAGCGGGCCGGGGCGCCGCGTTCATTCCAAATTGTCTAGTCGTTCACCATCATGGCATGATCCTGACTCGTGGATCAGGTGACCAATTCCACGTGCCAGACTCAGACCGTGGCGGCCCTGAGTACATGCACACACACATGATCTGCCCATCTAGATTCCCTTTCGAGTTTGCCTAAACTTAGCCTGACCGCGACCGGGCGCAGCGCGGCCGTCAACAGTATCGTACGTGGTTATGCTTCCTTCCAATTATAAAGAGGTGGGACGTAAGGTTGCTCCTAAGTTTGCGCTCCTCGTTGTCAACCTCTTGGTCTTGACGCAAGCATTACCTAAATGCTTAACGTGCTTAGCTGAACAAAGATCCAGTTCTCAACGACCTCAAACGCCAAATTCATACCTTTTCGAATCACACAGTGTAGATTTTGCAAGGCATAACCGTTGTCTGAGCTGACAGACGAATCGGTGCTACCGAATCGGGTCCCTCTACGTCTGATCAGTGATGACATTTCCCCCTATCCAGTTGTACGGCACCCTCGCACTAGCTTAAGGTAAGCCACCGTTCCTCTAGTCCATGCTACCCGAAATTTCAAAGCGCCTATCTCTACGGGGGGAAAGTGAAGTAGAGTATTGATTAAGACACTAGACAACAAATCAACCGACGTGCCATCATCTGGACCAGATCCAAGAACAAAGCACTCTCCTATTGATCAGCCTGTGCCGAGAGGAACAGGCTCATCGACCTTGACACAGTGCTGACCGCGTTGAGAAATTCTTCTGGGTAAGCTGGTTGCTTGTGGAATCTACCAGAGCTACGAGCAGCCGTTTCAAGAACTGATGACCAACCCCAGCTCTATCTGGCAGAAACTCCAAACTCAACCTACCTTAACGATCTACTTGCATTCGCCGACTCGCCTCTCTAGCCAGAATCCTGAAGACTCACAAATTCTGAGGTGGCCGTATTTCGCGCCTCAATCGTATCGTGCTAGTGACAAACAACGAATGCACATTGAAGGGCAAAGATACACCGGCAGGAAAGTCCTGAGAATTGCAACGCACGTTTGGAAGTCATCATCGTCTTATGGCGAGATGCTGGCTTTAGAATGTTCTCCTCTACCTCAGGGACTTGCATCATTGCCAGCCGCAATGCTCCCAAGCTGCAGCATGCGAATCGTCCCGTAAGGATGAAACGGGACGAAGAATTTACCTTTTAATGCACCCAATCCTCGATGGTACACAACCCGGAAAAGTATACTGCCTGCTCACCTCACCTGGGGGAAGTTTTCAGCGGAGCGCGCTCGGAGAGGGTCTTGCGCTCAGCGTGCTTCAGGGTGCGCAAAGGCCGCTGCGCCTCGCTTAAGTAATTTGGAAACGACGGCTAGCGATCAAGCAATAAAGGTCTATTGATCTTACTGGAACTATTCCCGGAAGGAGCAGGCCCAGGAACGATGGGACTTCCGGTGGGGGCGCTTCCAGCCGGAGGGCTTCCGACGTTTGGGGCAGGAGAGGTCAAAGGTTGATCATTACGGAATAGAGTTCAGTGGCAAAGAGTCAAATGATAATACTGGACCTAGTCCAGGCAGGAGCGGGCCTCGAAGCACCGGGGCTTTTGGGGAGGAAGCGGTCAACTTTCAAGATTGTTATGAGCAAGAAAGAACACATGAGTACTGCAGACTGCCTTTGGCTGAGTATTCCGCTTCAAGCTCTGACCGACGCCTTGATTAATCATCAAAAAAGCTTGAGGTCAGCTTGGTGGAAGTAGAGCCCCCAGAATAGAATCTGAACCGTCCTCAGCTTTCCACTGTGACAGATACGTTTGTACCAGGCAGAAATGTGATCATCTCTCCAGGTCAGTCAGCCGGGTTACAACGGCCCGTAACTCAGCTGAAGGTGGTTAATCCGACAAAGCATGTGGCCAAAAGTCTCTGCTTGTGTCTCCGACAAAGTCCTTTCTCAGGAACCGCAGATGTCCACAGACTGACCTTGCATTTCAATGCACCAGTAGTGGTGCTCTGCGACCATTCTTCGAACTCCTGGATTTGACCTTCCCTTCGACGTGGTCGTCTGCAGGCTCGAATGAGTGTACCCGCAGCATTGCATTTCCTTCTTTGATTTTGCGCCAGGACAGTGGTGGCCCTTGAAGGTGCAAGTAGTAGCATGAGATGCTGTCCCTTCCCGCCACTTTATTGCACGCCGGCGTGTCGGTACTAATCAGTGCGAGGAATCGATCATTACAGTATGCTGCTTCCGAAACTGCGCATCTCCCTACTGCGCAGACGTCTGAAACATTGAGGACTCGTACAAACAGGAACCCGATGCTAAGCTGAAAGACGGCGTACGATCACCCAAACTCAAACCCTGCCTCCAAGACGAACGTATCTGAACCAAAGTTTTCTCAAACTGATCGCGTGGCCGTCTCTTTACGCATTGGCACTTCAGCAGGGACAGCGCCACCTGTTGCAGCCCTGCCCTGCTGCCCCGGCTGTCCTCCCCATGTCTGCTGCACCTCCCTCCCCTGTCGCCGCTCCCCCTGGCCCCACAGCTTTCGCATCCTCCTCAACCCCTACAAATTCTGCAATTATCTTCAGCACCAAGTACCGAATTCGGGATCAGACGCAGCCATCCATCAACCTTGTTATCATCCTCAGTCTCCTAATTGTATACGCAAGTCTCGGTTGAGGGCCGGCATATTGGGCCCTCATAAGGAATACAGGCCGCTGCCGCTCTGCTCGGCTGAATCAGGCCCTGTCAGTTTCTCAGAAACTCACTTTGTGCACCTTCTTTCGTATGCCCGTGGCCACAAGACCCCAGACCTTCTGCTGCTGCTAAGTACTGCATTGACGCGACTCCCTGACTGTGGACTCTCCTCTCCTCTCTGAGTTTGACTCTGGATAGATCTGTGTGAGCTACGCAGACTTTGTCTTCCCTGCATATCCCAAACCAACTTCTGGTTAGTCACTTAACCAAGCTCTGTCGCTTCGGAAGACTTTTGAGCCGTCCAATCGAGGCCATATGACATTTTAAGAGATGACAACCGTCGATAAGTTGCTATCAGATCTCTTCAGGCTGGCAATTTTCAGAGCAGACTGAGAGGGATTGCCCAGGTTTGAATTGCAATTTGCAGTTTCTGGCATCGCTCCTCTTCAGCTTCACGCCAGCTTTAAGTTTATCAGCTCCTTGGTGAGGCTCCCTTTTATCCACCCTCCCAATAGCTTTATTGGCATGGTGCCATGGCAGCTGTGATCGCAGGTGTTCCTGAAGCAGCTCGAGCTTCTAGGCAGCGGTTTTCCGGCAAGCGGCAATGTAAAGGTTTAAACATTGTGTGCGGGAGTCGTTGAAAGTAGAGTGGTCTTCCTTCGAAGGGGGCTTTCAGTGGTTGTGTGCCTGGGAGACCAGAGAAGCAACTTTGTTCTCGGGTTCTGAAGCGCATTGGGTGGAGAGTATGGCCAGAGGTCTAAGCCAGCGAACCCTTTGGGGCAGGACCAAGGAGTGGGGGGGTGGGGGGGAGGTTTGGCGCAAAAGGTTAATCCACTGCAATTTAGCAGGTCAGTTCCATCTTGCAACCCTTTCTGCACGGTTGCTCTGCATGTGTTGAAATCCTCGTCATCCGTCGTGCATTAAGCTCTTGTCTGACGAATTCTTCTCTGCTGTCTGGCCCTGCTTCTGTGCATTCTGCTCGTTGCTAGCCATGCTCTACGAGCATCTGTGAGATCCAGCAGCAAGTGTGGTGTTGGGATTGTGAAGTATCCTGTCATGAGGCGTTGCACATGGTCACTTGAATGCGACTCAAGCAGACATTCTTTTTGAGCTTTGATTGGGCACCAAATTAGCAGCTCCAAATGATGTAAGTGTACCAGACAGCTGGGTTGATTGCATCTTCCCAACAGCAGATCTTCATCGCCTTTTCTAAAATTGTCGATAGATCATAGGATAGAGCATCAACACTGCATGATCGGTTTGAGAGCTGACAGAATTCATCACCACAATCTTGCTTGGAGTGGTGCTTTTGGTTGCAGCAGTGCATGCCTGTTCCTTAAGATGGGGATGTAAGATAATTTTTGGGAAGTGGTGTGCTCTCTGCCAATGCGCCATACTGTTTCTTCATGCGCCAGAAGAATCAGTATCTGTTGTATTGAAATGAATGCAGTAACGGAATACATGCTTGTCCTGGCAGTGCGCTGTCAGGGGTTTTGTACAATTGTATGAAGTGCAGAATGCAGGACTGCCTAGAAGAAGTCTGTTTATGTTTGCAATCAATTTGTCAACTCTGAAGTGAAGAAGAAATTTGCTGGCCTCGCAAGGGCTGTCACGTGTTCACAGTGCACGGCAAGGACAGTCCCTCAGTCCGCAGTCGGGACCTGAAAGCCCTCTCACACAATTGCTTGAAGCTTACGGACAGAGCCTGCCGCCTTGTCAATCACGCGCCAAACTGTGACACCACCTAACTCTCTGTCTTACACCCCCGTTTGCTTGCAGCTCGTCACATTATGGGGAAACATCTACGGGCAGATGCATCGAGTAGGCGTGGAAGCACATTCTTCACAGCTCGCGCAAGTCCTTCCTTGCGCATGGTATGTTTATGCTTTCCTTTTGACACCAGTTTTTTTTAAGACAAAGGTCTGGTGTTGCTTATTACTTCTGCACCACCCATATTGTGCGCCATACCAACTGTTAAGCTTACAAAAAAGGAAGATTCTATTGCTGTTTAGCTGTCACCTCTCACTCAGCGGTGCTGCTGGGATGAACGTTACTATTGGCGCTAGTCGTCCTTCTAGCCTTTTGGTCTCCATGCTTCATGGTAGCATTTACAGATTAAATGTGCAGTAGTTCCATTATGCGGTCGCACTTCTCATACTTGGGTCGCTCTTTCTGAATTAAATCAGCTCGCTTACAGGTTTGACTGCTAACTAGTGGTCCATCATGGCTCGGCCGTCTAGATGGCGGTGTAATGGTTTCAAGGTAGCAGTCCCCCAGGCAATGATTCTTGGGAAGCCCGGGTTCAAAATTTAGATGACTCAGATGCTTAGATCTCTTGACGCCATCAATGCTTGCTTGACTTTTATGCGCTCATTGATAGATCTATTGTCTGTTGTTGAACCCCAAGCTGTGCTTATGGATTAAAATGCAGCACCGCCTTGCGCAGCGGTTCCTTCTGGTCTTCCCAGCAGCGGTGGTTATTGGAAGCGCCTCTGTCTTCCGATTGCTGTGACCAGGTTCTGACGAGCAATGATGCAGATTCTGCGCCCGGTCAGGGCCCATCGCTTGACAAACTCGAAGAGCGCTGATGCTGTCATTGTTTGCAGAAAATGGTGGAAGTTTCGGTCTAAGCAACGGTGATTGTGGCAAAAGGGGTCCGGTGCGGGGCACACTGTTTGCACTCGTTTCTCAATGCTCAGAGTTTCGTAGTCATATACGTATCTTTTGGAGGTTGTGAGTTTGACGAACCTGACCCTTTCTCAGGAGTTTCTCATTGTGGCAATGATGAGCTTAAAGATGGGCGTGGAAGTCCATGAAGTGCTGTTACTGGAGGGCCACCAGGCATCGGCACTCCAATTACTACATTAAATCTTGAGACGCTGCCTGGTTTTTGACTGTCTGCAACGGTGAAGCAGTCAGTCACACTTGCTGTCCCCAGTACTCCTCCAATTGGAGGTCTGGATCGGCGTGCAATAAGGAACGGCTGTGGTTTAGGCAATCCTTTCCATGTGTGCCTTATTTTTCCGTCCTGGTTCGACCTCTTTATTCTGAAGCAAGAAGACATGAGGGCTGTTGCAGACATACATATGCACCCCTGCTTGAAGGCTTTTGTTTCAAACGAATCTGACATACTGGCGCGGCTGATAATGAGCTCATGCTGGGTCGCTGAAACCTATAACTACACTGGACTCGGAAAGCTCGTCTCGTGCCTGAAGTCAGCGTGGATCGGAGAGGGCTGGGGGTCGAGAAACCGCCAGCGTGGCATTAATCCCAGGTTTTGGTGTTAGGTCCTTTTGACCATGCTTGTATTGGGGAAAACACACTGCACCTGGGCAATACACCCTTCCCGATCGACGACGCCCTTGATGCCCTGTTCCGCTTCCTATGCTCAGGGCCTCTTTTGGGTATCCATTTCCGAGGATGGACTCCTATGTCTTTCGCCGATCGGACCTACTTCACGCCGTTGCGTCAGCCTTTGTTGCTCTGACATATGTTGCGGGTTCATGAGCGCCTTCACCTTCTCTTTTGCAGATGATGAAGGAGGAGCACCTCCAGCGTCCATTCCGTTGGCGTTCAGTCCGTCGGAGGTCCGTTCCGGCTGCCAAATCTACCAAGACTGGACCCGTTGCTTACGGTGGCCCTGCGAACAAGCGACTAGGTAGGCGACACTTTTGGGCAACGACTTCGGAATGCTTTAGCTTGTGTAGATCTAAATCCTCCTTGTCAGCTTAAATGGGCCAGCGTTTGCTGCGTACAGCATTTCCATCGAAGAGGAGACCTGAAAAACAGATCAAAGCCAACATGTCCTTGAGCTTCGCAACAGTGACGCTTCAATGAAGGTGCCTTTCAAACGAAGCCCGTGAGACGGGTAACCTATGTTCCGAGTTAAAATGTCGGCTTGGCGTCCAGCTTACTTCCATGTAGTGCTCGCTTGAGTGTGTTTCCTGCCGAAAGGGGCCAACAAGCGTTGCGGCCGTCCTCATATTGCCCATATCAGCAACTTTGGTCGCGTAATATAACTAAGCCGAATTTGCGTCGAGGACCCCATCATTGACGTGAGAGTCAGCCGTGTGCAGCCATGTTCTTGGCGCCTCGAATGTCGTTCCCTTTGCATCCATGCTTTTCTGCGAAACTGCTGGTCGTTGCGTCCTTTGCTTGTAACTTGTCTTCAGAGCACGCCTTTGCAAAGCGACCTCTTCGCTTGGTGCCTCGCTCGTCTGTACTCCTGGTGATCGATCTCTTAACAGCTCCCGTGTGCCCCTAATCGATGCCTCCGTCTCTGGAGCAGGAAAGATTGAGGATCGTTAACCAACTCAAAGCCAGGTCGCCCCACTTGGCGATACAAGCGCCTGTCGCCCGTTGGGATCGTAGCGGCCTCAAAGCAGGTGCATTCACTTCAAAGTCGCCGCCGAAGTATTCGAATGCTTCGATCATCTGCTTTTTCAAACCCCGCACAATGTATCTGGGTTGCAAATATGGGATGGATCATAGAAAGCCTTCTTTAGATTGTACACCGGCCCCCTATTTTCGACTCCGCTCGGTCTCTCGGGAGCCTCGTTGTTCTATCTTGTCCAGTTGGCTGTTGTCTGCTAGAATCTTATTACTTCTCCCCCTTCTTGGCTACACTTTTGGAAATGAGAGGGCCCGTGGATCCTTCTGTTGTGCATCGACAGTCAGTGCGGCTTGATCATGTTGTTTGGTCAAAGGCATATTACCGCAGCGCTGCGACAGTGAGTTCATCTTTTCTCAACATTCCAGACAAACTTCCCGAAACGGCAAGGAGGAGCTTGTATCGGCCTAAAAGCGGCCGACACCTTCTTGACATCAGAAACCAAAGCCAAGTGTTGCCTCACGAAACAAGCCATTGGCTGCGTCAGTGATTCTGCTTTGATTATCGTCGGCTGAGGAGCGTTTCTGATTTTGCCTTTTACAATGAGATTTATTACTGCTGGCTTGCCGAAGACAAGCCTGGGAACGAAATCCGACGGAGATAACCCTCCGAAAGTCCTAAGTTTGAAAGTGGCGGCCAATTGTGATCAAGTGCGTTCTTGAGCTGCTCGTAGGCGCGTTGCTGATGCATTTTTGCATCTCATATCGGCCACGACGACCTAGAATTGGGCATTGCACTCCAAGTTGCTTTTCGGCCTCTTAGACGTCAGATTGTCACCATAATGACCCCGCGCGTATGTACATGGTAGAAGCGCAGTGCCAGGAAAGTCAAACGGCGGCTGCGTAGGGCTTGTGGCATCCAATGTCCTCGTCTCCTTCTTGCGCCCCTGCTTACAATCCTTCTGAAAAAAAACCATAATCGTTGCTTTCGTTCTTGATTTAGCGCCTTCCTTCAACACCTCTCCACTTTGCTCTTGACTCCCGAGAGCCTTGTTCTGGAAGCCTTCTTTGAGGACCATTTCTCAAGAGTAGCTGTCCGCTGGACGATTCTAGACAATCCTTCTACAGCGAACTCGCTTTTCGTAACATCTCAATTTCTACCGAGTCGCTTGAAAGTGTCCTTTTCCGGATAAGAAGGAACAGCGGTCAGACCGAATGCTTCCTGTTGTTGCCTTTAGTGCAAAGTCCAATCAGCGGGAGATCCTCGCTGCCTGTGAGGGGCAACTTGCTTCTCGACCCTCAATCCGACGTCCTTTCACCCTCGCAACTTGAACTCGGGTAACGTTTGTATTGTTTGGGTTTTGGGTAGTTCCCCTACGGTTGTAGAGCTAAACCAACGCAGTGCGCGCGCATGGCTACTTAGCCCGAACCACCTTCAAGTATCTTGGCTGTGCGCATCCTTTGAAGCACGGGAATCGCGGAGACTGTAGTTGAGTTGGCGAAACCGTTAGCTTCATCAAATGCTTCTCCGTTGCGTGCACCTGTCTCTCACGATGCGCTCGATGATTGACGACATGCCCTCCTGTCCGATTCCGGCTCGCTTTGCCTGCTCCCCATCATAATTCCAAATTCAGAAGTGCCCCCTTCGTGAAGACATCCCCGGAGGCCGGAAAAATGAACTACGCTGTCAAACGAACCATCGGAAATTCGAGTGCCACGTTCTTTGGCACTGCCCCCAAAGTTTGGGCGAGCTCCCGTGCCGTCCAGATCTCCAGCTCTGGGCTCTCTCCATGTCTTCACGTTTCCACCACCATAGTCCCTGTGCCTGAGCTGTGGTGCTTTTCCCCTGGTATGCGCTTCTCGGTTGTGAGCTCGACAGATATGAAGAAGACCCATCGATTACGAATGTGGCTGGGCTGATATCCCGCTCGCTTTCCGTTTGCTTGAATCCGCAGGGCTGTGATGATTAAATCTGGGGTGCTTTCGCAACCCAACGAGGATTTGCGGACTGTTCCCGTCAAGATTGTCCCTTCAATAATGCAGCAGTGTCACGGTTTGTGGGTAGGGGACAAATTAATAACACTTTCAAAAGCTAAACACCGTGACGTAACCGTAGAAGTGTGCAGCCCCGCTGGCCTCCCCGATCTACATCCGGAAACTATTTTCTTTTGCGCTTAAAGTAGGTCCGGTGAGTTTGTCATCACCAGTGCCTTCGTACTTTGTCCTTGTTCCTGATTCCCTGCCACTTACGTGCACGCAGCAGTCCGTTCGTCTCATCATGGCGTTGGTCGCACTGCTGTGTTCGCAGCCCGATTTTTTTCCAATTATCACGATCGACTCAAGTGCTTTACCAGCCCGTTCCATCTGGTTGAAGCGCCATTGCTTTGCATCGCATCCCTTCCGTTATGGTTACGGTCTCATCGATCTTGTTGACTGTGCTCTCAGGGACACGTTAGTCAGTTCCGCTGTCCTTTGACGTCATGATCTAGCTCAAGTTATCACAGCGTGAGCTTACGCTTGCTTGATCTCTAGTCTTCCAGTTGCCGCTTGTTCCAGCCGTCGCGTTCTTTCTTTGGAAGTCTTGCCCGGCAGTGCGACGAGCTGACGGCGACCTCAAGGTAGTGATGAGCTTAATCTGGGCAGAACAGGCCTACTCGCCGCATCGGATTCTGACGCCGCTTGAGACGTGAATGACGTGTGTATCTCGTATGATGTCCTGCTCCATGGTCCTCCTTCTCCGGCGCTTGGGCAGTAGTGCAAGGCAATGACGACCTCAGAATTGGCAGACGAGGGCCCATCGAAACGTGAAGGTCTCATACCCCTTGCAACTCAAACAATTCGGTATCTTCTGTTCGTATCACGGACCCCGTCTTGGGTGACTCTGCTGACTGCATAAGATGATTTGTTTTTGAGCAAACGGGGCTCAAGCGTTGCCGACATGGTTCTGATGCCGTTCTTCCACCAGTGCTTTTCGTGCTCCGGTCTTCCAAACGGTGGTGTGCAATTCTGTTAGGGTTTTCGTCGTCAGATCAATTCTCGATGATCGCTGCCTCAATGATGTCATCTTTGATCCGACTTACTTGCTCGCATCTTTCTCTCATTGGTTTGGTCCGTCTGCATTTCTTTTGATGTCTTTGGAGGTTCTGATTTGAGCATAATCTGGGTCGTGCTTTTCTATCGAGGGCTGCTTGTCAGGCTGTAGAATCTGTGAGTGTCTTTGAAAGTATCTGGAAAGGAAGAATTCCTTGGAAATCAGCAATTGTGACATCAGTCCCCGAGCCTCGAAATTGTTTGGTCGCTTCGAAGCAACTAGAAGCCAAGATTTGAAGCTTCGCTCCGGCTTGCTGTACTAGTAAAGCAGTACGCTTACAGAAGCCTGCTGGACAGCATGCTTAGGAAAATCAACGGGCGACCACAAATGTTGCGTCCCGCTGTGGCGGTCAATATCGACGTTAGCAGCAGCGCACCGCGGATACGTTGGATGTGATCGGTGTAACCGTGCTTCAGTAGCGCTTCCTTTTATCGAGCATTGTTAACGAGTTCCGAGGCGACCTTGCGGTGTCCCGGATCTCTGTTAAGGGCCGTGCTGACCGACAGCTGGGTGCGGAATGCCCTGAGAGCACACCTTCTTCGGATCTGAAGCCCTTGATGACGAGTGCCACTTTTTGCCAACGCGACACCTTTTGTACATTAACAGTTACCGGAGTGTACGGACCATGCTCTTGTGTCAAACCTGAGACCAGCCGATCCTGCGGGCTTCTATAAGTCCGTATAGAAGCGTCCATCTGGTCCGATCTAGAACCTATGTTCCAGTTGTCGAGCGGTAAACGCAGTCACCAGTGGTTCGTGGACTGATGTCTTGAGGCGGTGATGAGACAAACCTGGGTGCAAGAGAACCAATTATCTTTCCGTCTCAGGCTGACGCCGTCGTTCAAACTATGTGTTGTTGCAACAATGACTTCGTCCTTCATCCAGATAGAGCGGGTGAAAAAACGACCATAAAATGTATCCTCTGCTAACCTTTGAGTTTGAGACAAGGCAGATGTGAGTACACCTTGCTCCTAGGTATGCGGACACCCCCGAGCCAGCAATCTCGATGTATGCGACATGTAAATCATTTCCCGTCTTTGCAGAGGGGGCGACGCGAGCTTGACCAGTTCCGTTCCCGTTGGCGACCCCGTTCCGGTCTGGCCGTAGCAACGGTTCTGAAGTCGGCGGTGGATGCGAGTCGTAGGGTAAAAAGCGTTGCTTGAAATCCGTTTTTAGTACCTTGATGTTCTTAGTCTCAGGTAACATCAACCAGGAGCCAAGTTGTCTTGTATGATTTGTGAAAGTCTTCACGATTACTGCAAGTCATTCCGAATACAGAACCGAACAGATTGTCTCCGGTTTAGCAGAGCTTCTTTCCCTGGACGACCAAATGCTTCCTGATTGCAAGTCTCAACACATTGGCTCATCGGTATGCATCCTCGTTCCAATTTTTTGTTGGTCTTGCATCAATTCGCCGAGGAGTTTGGAAGTGTCCACCCTAGGCTTTTCTTTGAGCCGAAGAGGTCGAACTTCCGATGGTGATGACGAGACACTTTCCGTGCAAAGTCGCACATGATATCGTCGTCGACGGACGCCATTTTTGAACCCATAGCAAAGCTTACTTTGGTGCACGTCTTTCCCGTTACATTGAGCATGCTAAACTGCTCACATTTTATCTTTCTCAGCACCCTGCTGTGTCAGAATCCGTTCGCTTCCGTACGCTTCTACCGAATTCTTCGCTTCAGTGGTCCCCGTGCCTCAAGGAATCTTCGCGATTTGGTAGGTTTGTGCTCGGTCCGAGAGGCTTTCAACACTGCCGGCTCGTTTGTTCCAGTCCCTTTGTTTGTCCCTGATATCCTGATTAACGGTTTAGTATTTCACCAAAGAGTTTGCCAGGCGACGCCATGCCTTCCTTTGCGTCTGAGCAACACTAGTACAAATAATTGGATACTTCCAACGCCCTGACGCCGGTTTGGCCTCTTGACGTTTTTCATCTACATCTTCCGAAGGTATATGTCATGGGTAGTTGTCTTCCTTACGAGCCCCCGTTGGAAACCCTTGTCGCATCCTGTATTTACTGCCTGCACCTGTTGGCAGCTTTTGTTGCCGGATGGACTTCCTATTCTATTACCAGTTTCGACCGTTTTCAGAAGTCTAATCTTCTGGCGATGACAAGTCACACGTTGTTGGGCTACGTGGTGCCGATTTTGGATTGGCACCCACACATCCCCCTGGAGCTAGAATGTTCCTTTTGCTTTGCAAACCGGGTCATTGTGGGTCTGACAACCTTTCGCATTTTCTGCGCTTGTGTGTTTTTCTACACCCCTCAGATATCCAACTTTCCATCTTTGTGCTTTCCAAGTACTTCCGTGTATTCCAGCTTTTGCGTTACTTGGAGCCTCACCTTTAGCACTCTCATTAGCACTCTCAATTGAAGGAGGCAGAGCGAGTTGGACAGACCTTGCGAATCCGCCCATACGCTTGAGAGTATCCTGCCCCTTGCCCGTTTCCCCCACTTGATGTCGGCAGATTCTCCCGGCCAGCCTTGAAACATTTGTTTTCGTTGGTCTAGTTTTCTTCAATACCACGAGTGTGCGCCTTTTTGCCTCGCAAGTCTCTCTCGACCCCTTCGAAGCCAGCGCTTGAATGTTACCCTTGTTGACTACACTCCCATAGAGGTTGGTAATTTTTGGACTGATGGAGATTGCTTCCTTTCTATTGGATCGTCGAGGCTGTGATGGTTCGACTGCGGAGCTTCGGTATCCCCAATGTCCTCTTCTTGTGTCTTCTCGGACGCCTTGGCTTACCGGCGTGTCAAAGACAATGATGAGCTCAAGTGGGCGTAAGGCTCACTGGTAGGGGTCGAGTGTTCTCCGCGAGTCCTATGGATTATATATCAGCCGTCACCTTATGCATTTCTGCTTTTAGAGCGTGGCGTTTCCTCTGATTTCCGCCTGGTGTGCTGACGGCGTGGGTATGTGTGAAAAGGCGAAGATGAGCCGAAACTGGGCGTCAAGCGCCAAGAGTGGCAGGAAGGTTTAATGGCTCTGATGCTTTCGAGATGCTCCTCAAGCCCTGAAAAAGTACACGCACGTCACATTCTCGTGGGGCAGGTAGCTTAAGACTCCTCATGTGCTTTCTTGTCCGGGGCCCGGACTTTCATGCACTGGTAACTTATACAGCTAACCGTTTATAACCGGGGTGGAAGGTGCGGCTTGCTGATTCACCCTCTTTAGCCCAAAAGAAATGATAAGTCCAATACATGTATGTCTGGACCAAGCCGGAAGCTTGACCTGGGCTCGTCATTCGATATTGTACCTGTAAGTAGGACTCCCCAGGTTTGGTCATTCAAGGGGCGGGGAAAGTAGTGGTGGAATGGAAACGTTGTTCCACTCCTTCATTTCTTCTGATGCCCCCTGCTTTAAGCTTTTATCTTAATGAGAATTTTAGACCAGTTTTGAGCCGTTTTCAGATGCACTGAACCAATGTTTTGCAATCTGCCCGCCTTAGTTCTTCACATCAGCAATTGCTGGCTGCCAGTCTGTGTCCGCAAACCAACAGCGCAAAATGGCCTGCGCTTCAGGGTGGCCTACACAGCTTGTCGCCCGCTTGTCGGCGTCGAATTTTGGTCAAAGATCGCCAAGGCCTTAGTCTCGGTAAGATGTTTCAGACTTTTGAAGGCCCCCCGGCCGTGCGTGGCGGTTCTTTGAGAATGACGTATTTCTCTCAACGATGATAAAGTAGTATGGCACTGTTTTGTTGACTTTGAATAGCAAGCCGACTTCTTTAAGTTGCGTGGGAGTGCCACGGCAGTCTGGTTACACAATCCTCTCAGCAGTCCGCCACGTGGATCGTAGCTAATGCATTTTCAGAGCCATATGGCCTCGGTGCTTCTCCGCTCACGCCACTTGCGCTGCTTCGCTTTAATGCGGCTTTGCCAGGGCCAATTGCGACCAAGGCCCCTATCGAAAGTAGAAATAAACAGCCGTTAACGGAGTGCTCATGCTGACGTAATCGAGGGCCGTGTTGAGTTACGCCTTGGTGCGGATTGGAAAGCACCACCGCTGCGTTCAGTCTTTTGAAGCCCTGATTCACAATTATGGTTTCATGTCATGGATACTTACCGCTGTTCGTGTTTCACAACTCTGTAATGCCCTTACGAAAGCCGCGGGCTTTATTTGAAGCCCCAACCTCTTAGGCCGTGCTTTTGAGATACCTAGTGGTATGATATTTTGCCCGTCACTCACAAGATGGAGCCCGATTGTGCACTCTGATTTCGTTCGAAGATCTCTGAGACCCTAATGACACAAGCCAGCGTTGCGAGACGTCCACATCATCCTGCTAAACTGAATCCGATGGTGGAATCCAATCTATCAAGAGCCGGTCCGTCACTAGTTGGGTCCTTAGTGCTTACCCTTCGGTTTCATTTAATTGCTTCTCGTTGAGAGGAGACAAGTCTGGGCATCGGACTTTTGCACGACTTTGCTCCTTTCGAACACCCATGAATGTCAGACCAGGGCTCACGAACCAGAGGGTCCTTTGCGCATTCTGGCTCGGCCAATCTCACCAACTCCTAGCATCAGAAAGATCAACAAAAATATCAAGTACGTTTCTTGAGGATTGAGGGCCATGATGAGCACATTCTGGGTCCGGTTGTCAACAATCTTAAAGACCCCTGACGCCCTTGACTTCCTAGACTGTTCGAGGTAGTGATAATTTCGTCCTTCTTGCAGCGCTGAAGGTAGCAGTCTGTCCGGGCCCGCCCGTGTGGGGTCCAGTCCGATTCTCGGTGGTGCCGTCAATCCCACCAGGGTTGATAGGAGGGACAGTCGTCGATGTAAGAGCCGGGCCTCTGCCGCTTCGATTCGAGGTATCCTTCAGACAATGTTCGTGTGTAGGTCGCAACGACCTATTCGTTACCAAAGTAGGGGTGTTAATCTGGTCCTTTCAACGGAAGAACTACTTTCAGTCATCAAGTCGCTGAAATTGATCATGACTTAAAGCGGGACTCACAGCGCCCCAGGATCATCCAGTATTTGCAACTTTTTCCGCCTCGATGACTGCGACAATTTCCGAGCCTCGTTCTCTCCGTCCCGTCCAACCAGTCGCTCCTTTGCGGTCACTGCCCTTGGTCATCGGTACGATGCAGCCTTTACAATATCCGCTCTCCTTTGCCTCTTCGTACGCCAGCCATCACAGTTTGCGAACTTCTGGGTAATCCAACAGTTGTGAGCTTTGCGCGCTCCCTTCTCTTGCCATATGAACCGAAAGGCCATGCACCGCTGCGGCCGGCTAATCTTCTGGACGTTGCATACTTTGCTCGTTGGGTCCTACACATGATCGTCGAAACCTAGCCCTCTGGTCGTCTTCGCTATCCATCGCGGCAGTCGGTCATTGGCGGTAGTCAATTGAAACGAGGTGCAGTTTTCTTCTTGCGTCTCGAAGGCTATGACGGCCGGAGCAAGCTTATCTGGGTATACTCGGCAACCCCCATTCATCGTGCACTTGTCGGACGCCTTTTGAGCTTTTTCCAGTGGCCAGTCTGAATGCTTGTGTATGCGCTTATTGCTCCAGTAATCAGCACATCAAGGTAGTGCACTTCTGCTGGATTCGCGTTGTCGTTTTACACACGAAGTTCTGGTGCGTGTCTTTGTGATTCCGCTTCGTTCTTCGCAACGCCGTCATACTTGAATCGACTATCTCTTGATTGCTTTACTCTCTCATATTGCCCTCTAATTTGGACGTCTTGCCTCGTTCCGCCTATTTTTGAGGATTTCTTTGCTTGATTGACCAATTCGTACTTGGTATACCGGTAGTTGTGCCTTTTTCACCCGGTCATTCCGTTGAAGCTGCCGTCCGTTCAGTTCTGTGATGCTTTCACGTAAAGCTAAAGCACGTGATGTGAGAGGGTTGCCACGTAGACAATTGGACGAACTTTGAGGTCCAAAAGCGGTTTGAATGTTGGCGCTTCATATCGTTGATTCATGATCCTTGCCCTGTAACTCTGCTGACGGAACATAATGCGAAACTTTATGGATTGTGGCATCTGACTGCGCGCATGCTCATCAGTGAAGGTCGACCTCAGACGAGGTGGTTTGATGCGAGTATCCTGGCAATCTTTATCCAGCATGAAACTTCCATTATGGTCGATTTGTAAGGGAAGGCAATGAAGAGCGCTTGACTTTGACGAACACCATCGTCACGCCACGGGATGTCCGATGCCGAACCATTCGATCTTTGATCGTTGTCACGACTTAAAAGTATCCACCGAACCCTCACGCGGTTCAAGTTCGCTTTGGCATGCTGTCGCGTTGGTAGGTTTGCTGCAACATGGGTTTCTCCACCTTTCGGCGTTTCCGCGCCTTTCTGACGTATTACAACCCCCATCGGTTGCAAGCTTCAATCCACTGTGCCTTCCAGCTCTTCCATATCTGCTGCTTCG